CCAGGTTTGGTTTCACCCCTATGAAGTTTGACGGGTCCTCCCAGACTTTTTGCTACATTACTTGGTGCCCTTCCCGTGACCTCTAAGCAAGGCAGGGCAGGGCATGGCACCTCCAGGAAGAAATCTCGCCGGCTCCTTCAAGATTTCGTCGCGCAAGTCTCCTCCCGTCAAGCCGGCGGTCTCGCGGACCGAAATAGGTCCGACATTCTAATGGACACCGCAACGACGTAAACCACGCAGGCATCCTCCGTCTCCATCCACGTCCAACGATCCTCCCCTTCAGTGCGCTTCGACTCAGCACATCTTCAACGTGATCCGGTTAAGAATCTCGGAATCTCCCATGGTATTAAACAAATGAGGTAAAGTACGCAGTTGCTGATACTGTCCCGTACAAGCCTCCTCCTGACGAGTATTCGCCTGACGGGTCACGAACTCCTCTTGGATCTACCTTATCCAACCTGGTCCGAACATCTAGGGACTCACATGCCGGGAGGTCCAGCGGTCCCAAGATGGAACCTGGATTTAAAGATACGTCTTGCGACAGCCCCAGCAGAGACCTCTGCACTTTGGCTGATTCAGCTCCTGGAACAGGTCCACGTAATTCTTTTCGTTGCTGGAATTCCCATGCTCATGGGTGCAGATTTCACTCGAGACACGCGGACCAATGTATAGTCTGCAGCCCCAGATTCCGTACCAAAGGCCAGTTGACGTCACGATGTTCCGATACTTCAACATGAATGTCGTGGTAGATTCAGGCGAAGTTGGGAACAGTCGCTTCTTTTCATCGTTCCTGATCTGCACCGCTTCGTTCGAGAGTTGATGAACAAAAGACATATTTTCTTTCTGTTATGTTCAAACTTTCTGGCAGAGGTTGTATTTTCTATTTTCTCGCGAATATGGTGGCTATCCCTCTTAGATGAGTCGGATCTTCTTGTGGATATGTCACAAGACAAAGAAAATATTTCATGTGTGAGATCTTCATTAGCTTTACGGATTTATATTTCTGGAGACTTGGACCGATTTACTTGAGGATTTGTAAAAGTAATAATATGACAGAAATAACTCTATTTTGAACATCTTTATCAAAGAATTCGATATTTTGTCTATCCGGTACTAAAGCCTCAATTTGATCAAATTATTTGCTCTTAAATCATACACAACCCAATTCATTCAAGCTAAATTATACAAGATTTTCACCTTTGTGTAATTAGACCACAAAATCTAGTATACAAACTGTATTCTATTCTATTCATTTTGTTCTTCTAATATATAAAATTCTATAAATTTAAATTTAAATAAAATTTTCTACGAAAAAAATCCTTAACATCAACAAGGTTTTTTTTTATAATAAAATTTATGATTCTATGAATCATTTTAAATATTTTAGAAATTTTAATACAAAAAAATGATAAATAACTTTGCAAGTTAATTTGCTATCAGATTTTAGCTTTAAATTATGATCTACATGTCTCTAGATGAAATCTATAAATATCTTATTATATTTCATAATTATTCAATAAAATTTGAATGGTGAAGATTATTTTCTATGAATTTTTTTATAAATTCCAAGAAATTTACATAAACGTTGATCATAATTATTTAATCAATCATTAATATGGGTAAGTTTCAAGTTGAGATTTGAAATATGAAGTATAAGTCTTTTATTTTCAACATTCATGAAATTAATATTTGTGCTGCTCACAAGTTACAAAAGTTTAAAATTGAGTTTATGATATATTTAATCCCAAAAAAAATTGTGAACTGAGTATTTAAAAATAAAAATAGATTAGATCATTTCAATATTTAAAAATAAAATACACATATTATTCTTTGTTATCTAATCGTTACACATCTTTGGCTGCTTTTTATCACTTAGAGTGATTCCATTGATTCAAATTTGATCATTTTAATTCATCATTCCCTATATTTAATGAAGAATCTACTCTAAATTTAAGCAAAAAATAGTAAAAGAAAATTTTGTCATTGCTTTTAGATCAATGAAAAGTTTGATACTATGTGTGTCCATCATGTGAACTATCAATTATTCTTTTTATCTAATGTTGTGTAATAAATTTGTGGTGATCGGTAAAATTTGATTAAAAAAAAATCCTCCTGAAATTTATTTTTGCTTCACTTGTTTCATTTCTATTTTCTAAATATTTTCTGAAATGAAATTTTTAAAAAAATTTCATCTCATATAGACTTATTTGGTTATAAACTTAATTAAAATTTATACATTTTGGTTGTGTAGCTCAATCTATCACATGCGAAATATGGATTATTATAATGAAGATAATTATGTTTGATTTGAAAAATCGATATATATATATTTCAATTTTGAAATCTAAATGAAATTTTATACCAGTATGCATTACATGTATACATTTGGACTAATAGTTTTGTTGTTGATGTACATACAGTTTTAGAAATTTTTATTTTATTTTATTGGCATTGGATCAAGAAAATTTCAAGTAGACTTAGATAATTTGATATGTGATGATTTTATAACAAGCTTACATTTATTGAAAAAATATGTATTTTTAAAGAATTTTCAAAAAAATTATTCTCGATGCATTATTTATAAAAAATCTATTTTACAAATTTTCTGATTTTTTCCTTATTCATCTAAATTTTCTTTCAAATTAATCTATAATTTCAAAAAATTTCATTAAAAAAACAGAAAAATAGAAAATAGAAAATTTTATTTTTTTTGGAAATTTTCAACCTTTTTTCCAGAAAAATGAGAGTATAAAAATAGTTGATTATTATTTTTTAGTCGTCAAAATATATCATATAAACTTTTCATGAAACATACCAGGTAAAGATCGTACTTTTAATAAAAATCACCATTATTGAAATTAAATGAAAAAACAGAAAATCTCTATATGCACATTTATTCATTTGTTTTCATCAATGAATATTCCTATGATTTTAATATCCTATTATTACAGAGAATAATTGATTAATCTTATATATACCCTCTTAAATTATTATCCTATTAGAATTACTAATAGTTGAGCAATCTAATTTCATTATGTATAATTTCAATCCTGTGCCTTACATTTTAAATTTTTTTCTACAAGCAACATCATTAGTAGATTTTCCATTGTAATGCAAAGATTATCACTATTTTGCTTTGTATTGTCCATTTCCATAATACAAAACTTTCATCTCAAAGCCTACAGGTTTGTGCCATTCGGGTCGATGTAAGCTTCTAGAAATGGCTGAGAAAGAAGATTAAAAAGACTCAGGTACTTCCAGCCCGCGGTCGCCTGTAAATAGGGGCTTCATAAGGCCAAAATAATGCAAGCTTTGCCGTGAACATAAACTTTGGGGATCACACAAATGAGAGCAGACATAAGCTAGCGACTTTTGCTTGATTTGGTACGAACCTTGATGTTGCATTAAATCGTGGGGCTAGGTTAACTGAGATACTTAAACAAGCACAATATAGGTCAGAAACACAAAAGTGATGGTAATGGCTTCGCCCTGCATGTATTCCTTTGGGGTCTAGGAGGATACAGTAGCTACTTGGATCGCTAAGTCTCTTTACCAAAGCACATTTAGTGCAATTCGCTTGATTTCCTATGGAATCTAGAAAACTTAATTGAAGGTTTATTTGATTCCTCCCAAAGATACCAAAATAGACTCATTCAACACATGTTGTTCGGAAAAAATTTCAAGACCAGGATCTGATCAGTCGACATCGAGATGCCAAACGACTCAGTCAATAAGGGCTCTTGGGTCCTCATCAGCCTGTTCTGTACAGACGTCGTTGTCAAGCCAACGACTCATAGCGGGTCTGTCAGGACGATCGGAACTGAGAACTTGGCGCTCTAGAACTGAGACACGGTCCAGACTCCCACGGGAGGGGTGGTTTACGTGAATGATGTCCCAATAAAAAAAAAGAGGACAGAAACTTATTAAACGGTATTATCCTTTGGTAATGTTATTTCTAAGGATCCAGTGTCCCATGGCTTGCTGCTTTACATGTCATCGTACAAATCCTTTTTCCAAGATTTTTTGTCTCTGCCATGATAACGTTAAGGGTCTCTGCCACATGCTTTCACATATATCAAAAGATGCTTTTTGCTTCTCAACCACTTTTACCAAATTATTTCAATAACTATATTATCGTTCCAATTTTATTTTACAAAAGGTTAAGATGATTATAAAATGTTACGAATAATCTTCAGTATAATATATACCATACAAAAATGTGCTTACAATCTATTATTTTTTCAAAAAAGGGCATATCTTAGAAATGTACAAGATGATTCCTTACATGGATCTTTATACTTTTCAAAATAAAGAGGGACGAATCAAACATGATCTATCAAACCTGGCTTGAGACAACCTGGAAGGCTTGAGAAGCTATGTATAGCAAAAAATAATTATAAGCACACTCCATCATATATTTCTTCCCACTTGCAGAAACACAACCTTATGACATGGAAACCCTAAACCCTAAACACCCCAATAAGCTGGTGGATAATGGTGAAACTGACATATATCAAATATAGCAGAGAGTTGTGTATGTTTCTACATCCTAGGAACATACAAACTTTTAGAATCGCGTCTTCATAGTTTTTTAATTGGTCTGAATAGAACCAAAGTAGTAGAGGAAACATAGTGATAACAATAACCAAAGCCATGAGTATACTGGAGAATTATAAAATTAAAAAAACCCAAAGGTAACGATTTGATTTGCTCTTTCTCTATACATGTCTATAGTGTTCATTATCATACCAATGAAGGCTAAGTTAAAGAATGACAAACGTTTACCCTATGTTTGGCAATTTCTAGCCATACAGCATGTCGAGAACTTATCCGGTCCATAATTTACTCTCATCTCCACGTTCGAGGACGCTTTTCTAGTGTAAGTATCTCGATCTTAACTTTAAAGAGAAAGGCTTTGCATGGGAGTACTCTTTTATAGCGTAAGTATCTCCTCTCAACTTTAAAGAAAAAGGTCTTGCATGCGAGTACTCGGATGGAGGCGAGTCTGATGATAGATCGATCTCTATGGAGTCCCCCTCACGCTGCCCCACCTCGAGCAGCAGATGCCACTCCAGTCCAGTGGATCCCTTGTTCCTCTATTCCCCGTCTTTGGCTCCTCATGGTGGCATTCCTAGTGTGTACTTTAACGGCCTCCCTTCGCTACGATATTTTCTGATTTCCCTGATTTCGATAGTTAGTCCATTGAACTTCCAGAAGTCAGCTGCCGAGATCCAGTGCCAACATGGGAGGTACTTCCGGTGATGGGTGCTCGGTCTAGCGCGTGGGCTGTCCGACAACCGCCAATTTATCAGTGATATGCTCGTGGCGAGTTTGACTCTCCACAGTCCAAACTGCTGCGTCCTGAATCTCACAGATTCAACCGATTCTGATTTCGAAACGACAGTTAACATTGCGATCCTGCTGATGGATGGAGCCTCTGAGATGGTAGAAGGAGATATGATGAAGATTCTTACTTCCAAAAATGTACACCAAGTCTGGACTCTGGATTGGTCTGCTTTGTGAGAAGTGTTTGCAGCAGCCTTCTTTTTGTTTGTTGTAGCGATTCTGATTCCGAAACTGAATCCTGAATAGCAGGAAGACACTGTCAAATATGCGATCCATCTAGTCAGCGTCCTGGAAGAATATATCAATGCCACTTTCGGTATCTTGACGGGGAAATCGAGCATACAAAAGTGCATAGAATGATCCTTTCACTTTGAGCTAGCTGTAACTTCCTGGGAAAGGACCTCGCATCTGCATGCAATTCCGGCTGGACCATCCCCGCAGCACGCTTCTCATGACTAGTGGCCGGCATGTGACTACGACATTGGATGGATGCTCGACACCTCTTTCAGCTTCACAGTGGGACCTCACCGGTGGCAGCCTACAGATGATCATTCAACTACGGGTAGATATATTCTTCTCTTGACCGGTTCTCGATCAATCTCGCAGCCCTTTCACAATTCATCAGCAGATCATGGCGGAGTATGTCCGTGAGAGTGGGTAACAACGGCGGTATCTAGCAGGCTGGAGAATGATATCTCCGAGCGTTATCGTCTTCGAAGTATAAACAGAAGGAAAACGAATTCACGACCTTGTTTCGAACCATCTGAGGGCGGGAATCGACCGTAATAGTTGCAGAGTCAGCCAACACTTTGAAGTCATCCTATCATGTGCAGCATATTTTACACGGATCCACGTACATTTAGAAAAACATAAATACATGTACATTCCATACGCACAGTGTCCCACTGAAAAGCAGCAACTGTTGAAGACTCTGTTCATATACTCAGGAAGAATTCCACTGAAACTCGGATTTTAGTGCTGAGAAAAAAGCTGCTGTTGAAGATTGTGAGACACGGAAAATCATTTTTGGGATTCTTATAGGGTCTGTTTGTACAGTCTGTTAGAGCGAAGGGGATCTGGAGTCATTAGAATCTAATAAGAATGTCCAGGTGTTCTCGATCGTGTACTAGTGAGCAATGATCTACGATATTCGATTAATAGCAACTATAATACTTTGCTGTTGCGGCTGCTCGCCATATACAGCACAAGAATTGTTCTCGGTCGGCTCCAAGCATCAATCCAGTTCTGTGTACAGTACATTGATCCTATGCAGCAGTATTCATGTCCGACTCGGCAAGTGCAGCTCGCAGATGACCAGAACGTTTCCCTCGGTGGAGACTTGATTTTGATAGTTTTCCAAAGTCATACATATATTCCGAATCAAATCGACGCTGTTCTCACGCGAAGGAAACAATGCTCAGAACCCGAATTTCGGCTAAAGCGCTTAAGCTATATCTTAGTCGAAGAGTGGATGCAAAAGCGAGCACGGGCTTCAGATTGTACATATCGTAAAACGTTAGTGTTGCGATTTTAACGGGATCTCCTATTGCTGGCAAATGTTAAAGTTCTCCAGTGCAGTGACATGGAGGCATTCTTCCGTCTGAAGGCTAGCAATCTGCTACCGAATGCTCCAGTGATGTCCTACCACGGTCAGACGCTGAGAGCTGCATTTTACTCTGCTGCTGTTTCTCAAGGATAAGTCGCGCTAAGCCTCGGATAAAGGCATGGCAAACTGCAACATTCTATGACGAGCAAGATTTACACTGACTGAACGAAGTATGACGCCTAAGCTGTCGTTGCGTGACTTCATTCGTCGTGTTCCGCTCGCTAGATTGCTGCCCCTAAGGCCCAATTGGAACATATTCCCATCGCCAAATTCGCGCTGTCTCTTCGACCACTCCGATTTCTTGCTGCTTGACCTGACAGCCCTGACGATTTTCCTTGCTGAACCTAGCCCCAATCAGACGCCTTCGCACATCTTTCGCATCACCTCTCAGCAACTTTACAATCCTGATGGCCAGAAAGCTTGTCCTTTCATCTCTAGTAGACGCGTCAATCTCATCCTACACTGGAGTACATGCCTGGAGTCTAGGATAAGATTACCAGATATTCAAAAAAATGTGTTTGCCATTGCTTTTTAACTACGTCTTTGTCATAATTCTGAACCCTGGGACGCTTCTCGGAGGTCCAAACTCCTTACAGAACTTAAAAAAAAAAATATTTATAGCTGACACCTTCTCGAACTCAGCGAAGGATCACATTGGACCCAGCACTTTTCAGGTCCTTGTGTCGACATCTATTCCAGCAACGAAAGGTCAATACAGAATATGAGCTGAGACCAGCGAGAGGTACGTTATACTTGGACTTAGAGAAGTAGTATGTGCTTTGCCCTCGTCTGCGCTTTCCATGCACCTGTATATGTAAGCATTGCACAGTATGGAATCACAGATTATTTCTACAAAAATGTTCCTCCTAACGCTTTGTTACTTTGATCAGGTGCAATTGAGAACGTTTGTACAGATTCCCGTCTTATGAAGATCTCCTTGTAGATTTGTGTTCGCACTATTGTCTCTGGCTCAAACTTGCAAGATTTGAAACATAGCTCAAACAAAGTAATTGGGGTTTGAGTAGTCAATTCAGGTATCAAGGTTTGTCTATATAGACAAGAATAACCCTTGATTGACATTACATCTTCCCTGTTGTATCCATATTGCACACGTGAGATCCAAAGTAGTGTGTCAGTGAAGACGCCGGGACGAAGTTAATCGCCAATTCACTCCTAGTGATACTTGATGGAGCTTCTGGTCACTTTCAAAGCCAGTTTCTCGCAGTCGGTTTAGCGTAGACCCCTTCTGATGTGAAGAAGAGCCAAGGTTTTGGTTTTCGATTGAGACATCCCGTCCAATATCCAGTCCAGTGTCTGGTACCTGCTCAGCATTATAACCATCTAAAAACTTTAGATTATTCTGCTGGGGGATTCTTCCCTGCTCATTTCTAGGCCTGAAAGCAAGGATTGAAGTGAGCAGGGGAAAAAAAGAAGCCAAAATTTGGGCAGAGTATACAGCATCAGATCGCCTTCACTAAAACGCGCTATCTATGACTCTGGCGTATCATCTATACTGAGGAAAATGGACTTAACAATACTAGGAGAGAATATAGGGTACAAAGTAATCTGATTACAAAGCCTTAAATCACTATAAATCTAGATCTCACGCAAAAGTGCCAGTCTGCATATCAAGAGATTTTGAAACATTTTGTTCACCTAAAGGTCTAAACTCTTCCTTTCTCGTGCAAACATGGAAAGTTACGACCTGGTCGAACGCGTAGATTCTTAGAACTGACTGATTGGATGTCAGTAATATATTTCAGTAACATGAAATTATGTACTGCCGTAACGCGTGGAGTAGTGATGCTGTCTGTCAGTGACAGTTGATGCCTCGTTAATGCATATTCTCCATGTGAGTTGTCTATGACCATTCGTACCCGTGTCCACTTGTACGAAGTAAGACGTGAAAAGTGTTCAGATTTGCACGAAGATGAACGTGAGGTGAGTACGCGCGGTACGATCCAATCCGATCGAGGTTGGGCACCAACCAAATACCTCACTCTGTTCCGCCGTCTCGATATGGGGCCACAAACAGAGGTAGAAGTGTCCACCGGGTTAACTGGGTGAAAATCTTTGCCAGCAGTTTAGACCATGAGCCCAAACAGCTCAGCCAGAGTTTAGGAGAAAGTGTCTCCCGGCTCGTGTATGACATCAGAGGCGCTTGTCACCTGATCGAAACCTTCGGTCGGAGGATTTCACTCACACTGAGACGCATAAAGCTTCATACAGTACTTTAGCAGCAGATCTTCGTTCGACCCACCCATCCATGGCACTTAAACACATTGCCCTGGATGGAATAGAGTTGTAACTCCAACGCAGAGTCTCTATCTCTCTCCAAGAGTAATTGGCCGTCCGAGGCTGCAGAAGAGCTCGTGTGTCGGTAAGGTTTGTCGAAACGTGCGAGGTTTCACGAGCGAGAATGAAGAGGCACAGGACAGAGAAGGGCTACAATGTCCCTGCCTGTCTGGCCTAGTCTATGAACTCTTGTGCAGCTCACGAGGGCTGCTGTATCCCTCAAGCACAAGCACAAGCCAAGCCAAGTGTCTGTGCAAAGCATACACCTCACCCTTCACGAGCTAACTGGGCGTAGTATCGTGACGTTTGGTTTGCGTCTTGTTTACTAGACCGATGAAAATGGACTGACTGAGTTTTCAGTCCGTCAGTGCAAGGTCATTGATAAAAGTTCGAATTAGACGACAAGATGTGTTCCATCATCGCCAGTTCTCTGTCATATCATACCTTTAAGCTCAGAGAAGATTTTTTCGAGGCCGGTAGCTCTAATCAATCTCTAAAGCTGCAAACCGTGAGTTGGTGCGGCTCACACGACTCCCGTTAAACCATAGCGGGGCCAAAATGTAAAGGTAGTAAAATGGATACAGAGGAACTACGGTAAAACACCATAAAACCTTACAAGGAAAAGAAAGTTCAGATCAATAGTTAGTCCGTAAGAGTATTGTAATATAGGGTTTAGAGTATGCTTTATTTCACATGTGAATCCGAATTTAACTAGATCTGTAAATACTGTAATAAAAATAACATCTTGCAGAACATATTATTCAGATAATGTATAAAAATATTATAATGAAAATTACTTATTAGGATATACATAATATTCAAATAATATAATCAGAGAACGACATCTTATAGTTTTATTAAATAAATAAAATCATATGACATATAATATCTAAATTGAAAAAATTCATAAGACTTGAAATACTAGAATAACATTATTTAAACATCTTAAACAAACATACTCACTCTCGCATCATACAAAACACAAGGCCTCGGCAAGGTAACGTAACCTTTTAGGGTTATTAGGTAAAACTTAGAGGTTTGGCTATAGGGTAAAGTAAAAGTAGAGCCAAATGGGTTACCATGTAATTATCGGGTAACCTTCGTACCAGAAAAAAACAAAAACATCGACCCTCTCAAAATTACTCATAAAATAATTTTGCACATTCTCTCTTACGGAATTCAGAAAACAGCAATGCTGGTTTAAACTGAATCGCAATCGCGGTTCTGCATAATCTCGTGAAAGTACAAAGTGTAGATAAGGAGTTAAAGGTTAAGTTCTTGCATATGACGAGCTCCGACACACATGATTTGGAGAGTTTCTATTCAATCACGGACCTTTACTAAACAGGTAAATTACACTTTTTCCTCTACCTTTTACCCTAATAGGTAGATTTACCGGGTAACCCTGAGGTAAAGGTAATTTTTAAACCTTTAAGAATCCGTACTAAGTAAGTACCCTAAGGTAAAGGTAGACAATAGTGACGCGAGTAACGTAAAAGGTAAGGTAAAGGCCCATGCTTTACCCGGTTACCTTGCCGAGACCTACAAAACACCTTGCTAGCTATCAATCATCCACGATTTATCTTCTTTCACGAAGACACTACGAGTTTCTTGGGATGAGATATGGGAATAAAGTCTTGTGGTACTGAGTTGCCAGGATGTTTTAGACTAAGACTCTTCCTTCCAATGACTTTTGCAGCCCTCATGAACCCCATGACACCTAGTGGTATAACGTAAAAACATTTTGATGTATGGGGCGTAAGTTAAGTGACACAAAGAAGACCGTAGCCAACTTGGTCCTTAAGAATGGACGAGGTTGATAAGACGCATCAATCTACATAAGGGTGAGTTCTAAGTAACACTAACCCCCGAGATTATCTTCGTGACAAATAAGGTCTACATGATATATTCTCATTATGATACAAATGAATGCAATATTTCTGTCTATTTTTTTGAATGAAACAAAACAATGAAATTTATTTCTGAGTCGTATATACAATAATCTCACAAAGATAGAATCCTTTTACCTAGTTTCAAGAATATCAAAATTGATTACTTTGCTATATACGATGATAATTATTGTTGAAGTACATTACTAACAAGAATTAAGCTTTGTTAATAATAGACTCGGTTGGCGAGAAAGGCAGAAGACCGTCATTCTTCCGGTCTTCTAGTCTCGCAGCTTTCCACTTACCTGGGCAGGCGGTTTGATTAGACGTTTACTGTTGCCAGCGCTCATAAATCGCAGGGTTCTCTCTTTCGGTATTAAGACGTGAAGGGCTTCCTCCATGTGCTGCAGTCTGAAGGTGATACTGCTGGAGATCGATGAATGTACTTCACAGATAATCGGACGCATCATTCACTATCCGGGCTCGTGTTCGATGCACCTGTCCTCTCGTTAGGCCGTTCCGATCGCTGACCTTATCGGTCTCGACGTTCGTTTCACATGTTTGTCACATTTCATAGAATCTACAATTTTCTGGGTGGGAGGTATTTCAAGCTATTCTGATACTAGAATTACGAAAAGGACATCGGAACTTGCCACAGTTACGCCTTGCCTCATGGATGACCTTTTTCTATGGCACCCACAAACTGTCACGATGGGAAGGCCATAATAGTTCTTGGTTGGAGAAATCTAGGGTTCAGCTGGGAGATGTGGTGAAACTAGCTGCGTGTTCATCTGCCGGTTGTATCTCATTTGCGCAGAACAGACACAAGGAAGAGTATTCAGCTTGTGTGTGCAGGGAGAAGTGGAGCTCCGAAGGGTCCGAGCGTTGCAGTTGTCATTGTCTTCGATTGACTAGAATCCATGAAAGAGAAATTACTAATCGAAATGCAACCATATCAATTGAACACGATACATTCATACCCTCGACGAAGGTCCAGAATAAGAAAACTACTAGTTACAACAATTACAACAACGTAGCCCAGAGGAGACTATCAGAAGTTTCTGATAAGGAGGCAATCTTTACAACGAGTTCACGTTGCATCTCATGAAACTAAGCCTACATCATGAGTCATGGCTGCATCCAGTCGGTGGGAGCATCTGTCCCGAGTGATTCGTGCTGAATCCATCCAATCGTCGAGAATTGGTTTCATGTTTTCTGAAAGTTTTATGCTGTTTTCTCTTTCCGTAAGGAGTTGAACATTGTTATGCATACTGAGTGATGGATGGGTGGGAACTATTTGTACACCGTGTGGGAAGCCCATCAGACACTGTTCTCAACCTGCTATCTTGCGGCATTGTTTCCAGTACGAGTGTACCGTATCTAGTCGTCTTCGGAAATCGGCAGATAAAAAAAAATGCTTCCAATGGAAACGAATGTGACTTCAATCTCTTAGATATACCCACTGACAGACAACTGAAGGATGAGCTGTTTGGTACAATTTTAGAAAAAAATTTCAAATTCTAGGCAGGAATCTATTCGAGGATTTTGTGGATATATGATCTGCCTGAAGCATAAAGTAGATCGCGAATTTGAAGTTCAATCATAATGATATCTTTAGGGACTGATGATAAAGTAAGTTGCCTCTTCCGCGTAGAACAGAAGGGCAGAATAAACACAGCTTTCTGGGCTATCAACTGCACCGTACTGATCAAAGAACATGGCATCTGAATGACGGATTTCCAAACCTTTTAATTCATGCATTTCTAAGCGTTTGGTCACACGAAGCTGATGTTGATCTCTTACGCTGAATAAATAATTGTACTCATATGGTTATATTTACAAAACTGATAATCCTTGTTTATATGTGTTCCGAGTGCTTTCAAAAGACTTGTTACTGATGCACGACATGGGGCCGATATAGACAACTTAAAATTTCCGCAATTGCATGGATGAACCCCATTCCATTGACCAATGAGAGAGCACAGAATCGATCGACCTTGCTAAACAACAATTGCCTAGTTGAGATTAAGAACCAACAAAGTGTAGAATGTAATTTCACCTCCGTACGATGAAGAACTATAACATTTTTCAGATCAATCCCAACAATTGACTCTTATATTCTGAAGGAAGCTGTTAGTACGCACGAATAATGTAGATTGCAGAACATTTTACTATTCAGTACAAGGCTTTCTTGAGACGTCTTGACTTTTCTTGACAAGACTTCTAAATGTCATAAAGCTGGATATTCTGGGAACAAAATAAACCAATGACTGAACTCTTTGGATGCAGTCGAAGAGAAAATTCAGCTCAATACTCTTCTTCCGCTTCTAAACACTACATAAACTACTCCATACAACACGAATACTAATCCAGCGTTCCCCAACTCGACTGTAAAATTCTGCAAACCTTCACGGTCATTCCTGTCCACTCCAAGGAGACCGGAGCTCAAACAAGATCTTCATGCAGCTTCATCCCTCGATAACTTAAGCAGGTACACTTAATTAGTAGCTTGCCTGCTCCGTTTCCAAGCCTAATTGGAACGCATGCACCAACATCAAGGACTTGTATCTTCCTCCAATTCACCGACGACAGACGAAAGAGTTTTATGTGACCTTGCAACTTGATCTCACACACATTTGTTCGCAATTCTTGTACCCCGTAATAATCGATCTGGACGCGTCGGGTCCGGTCGAGTCATGCACGAAGTTTATCGTGAGGTCGGTTGCCTATCCGGCGTACCATGCAAGAGTTCCGCTGCAGTAGGCTCCCGTAACGGACGATGTTCTACCCGTTCGGAGCCAGAGATTTGAACTAGCCTTTCTCGAGCCAACAAGCCCGCTCCCACTTTCGCCTCCAACGGTCTCAAAATCAGCGGACGATTTCGTATTCAAATCGTGAATGCTCTGTCGGCTTTGTTGGTCCCAACGGTGGGGGACGTTCCCCTTTTAACGAGGCCTTGCTCGCCTTCCGTTCCTTTTGCAGAAACTCTCGTAATCTTGCAAACTGTGAGAGAGGGAGGAAGGAAGGAGGAAGGGAGGGAGGATGTGCATGAGTTTCAATCTCAGAGATTGGAGAGAAGAGGTTCGCGTCAGCTGTTATAGCTCTAGATCACTCTGAAGTTAAACCGATTGCCCGTCGAGGGATTTCTCCTCGGGTTCAGTTTCATCGACAATTATCAGATCGCTGCTCAGGATGGAGATGGGTAAGAAGGACGCTGATCTCCCCCCGAACCAATTCAGTAGGGACAGAGCGGCATTTTGGAAAGAGTGGACCCATCTGCAATCGTCAGTCGGTGCGCATCACCAAAAGGTAATGGAGTTTTTCCATAATCAAACAGCGTACTTGTTGAAGCTGGAGTGCATGATTATTCAGCAAGCTGCACAACTTGAGAAGCACAAGACAAAACAAAAATCTGCGGTAAATGCAGTGGGAGTGTTCCTCCAACGAGAGGATAGCTACCGAGAAGCTTTGAAAGCTGCCCTAGAAGCTCTGGAGGAAGAGAAGGAGAAGCACGTCTGCCAAATCTGTATGACCAAACCTCGGAATATCCTCATCATGCCTTGCATGCATCTTCTCTACTGCGATGAGTGTCTAAGAAAGCATCTGAACACGAGCAATTTATGCCCCGTGTGCAGAGGCACCATGAAGACGTGGATTCCATGCAGGTTCAATCTGGACTGATACCTTAGCAGACCACGGGACTTCCAATTTTACATATCAGATGACGATCGAATCTGGGACAAACGCTTTGTCCGCTGCTGCAAACGCAGAATCGCTTTCAAGGTTTCACCAAAGCTTTGGAATGTGGAAATGCTCCTGATGCATTTCCAAAAAGTACGATAAGGATAGGTTGGTGAAGCACAAGTTATATTGCTGTAAAAAATATCTTCCACCCTCGTATACAAAATATGCCTTCCAGGCTTGGATAGAATCCTAATTGTTGAAATGGTTGTCTTCAATTATCGAATCAGCTATAATTTCATATTTCATCCTTTCATGGTCTTGCTTTCCAATGGCCGTTCGTGTCTCATCGTCAGTCTGAAAATCTTTTTTATGTTTTTATATTTACTCTACAGATAAAACTATAATCTTCTAGAACTACGGAAATATGCTTTTCTCTCGTGAGTACGGAGCGAAGTGTATGAGAGTAAAAGGATATTACACGGAATCATTCAGATAATTATGAGCACACTCCACATTCAAGTCATGGTATATACAAATAATTGACGTATGGCTAAAGAGGGAATGCATGATTCTCCATGAACGAAAATCCACCCGTTAAGAGATAAGTTCGGTAAGTCGAACTTGATTTTTCGGATCTATTTCTTCTTCTTTTCACTTTTTCGTGATGATGATTGCTTAACTTATATATGAAAGATGGGTTTTAGTTTCATCACTGCATATATAGGACGATATGATGTGACAAGGTCGGAAGGCTCTTGTATCTCAAACAGAGAAAGGTCTCAAATTGGTTGGCAAACGACCTGTAGTGAGTCGGAGGTGATAAGTGAAGATTTTAATAATCTTATAATTCCATCCAGTGAACTAAGTTGAAGAAAACCTAATTCTGGATTATGAAGTTTCTTGTTTGATAAGCATAATGAGACGTTATTGTAATTCAGAGCAAAACATATGTTGAACGATACTTCTTGCTTAGTTAAGCACATTGTTGATATTGTCGGTTTAAAAAATGTACAATATTTATTCTAAATGTTGAATGAATGGAAATAATGGATGGAATCAATGGAAACGTTTATCTTTATTCTGAAGATACATATGAATAACTTCAAATAAATGTTGACGATACGCACATGCTTTCAAGATAATCTCTATCCTGGATGACAAGAGGTAAATAAAACTCCGCTTAAAAATTTTGGAAAAAATTTCCTCTCATAGAAGGAATTCTAACTTCGAATTATGACCAACCAGTTTTATCTTCTTTGAAGGTGGCATATCGTTAGCCATAACACTCACATACAGTAACTAGCACACAAACTGTGCTTCAGTGAGGCAGAGTCTGTGATGTTTGCCACTTAGTCCACTAATAATACGTATGAATTTTTTATTTATTCATAAAACATGTTCAAGCCATCCAGGATAGTCCAGAGGCATGGCTTTGATCATCTTTACCACCAATAAAAGACCTAGTATCATTGAACAATGTTATATATATGATCTTCTACTTACATCTGAAAATACAGTCCTTAAGTACATATGTAAAGTACCTAAACTTTTTCAACTACATTTATTATGAAGTGACACTAAATCTATATCAATGAAAATGTGAATGCATCGATACGATTGACTACTTACCATGTTGTGTGTGTTTACCAAAAACAATGTCTACTCATCAAAGACCATTCACCATGAAAATTTTTTTAAAAAAAGCAGAAATCATCTTGTGTTGCATGTTTATGCCATGTAGTCTCTTATTTAATAAATTGATGTCAATATAAAATAAAACTTTTAAAGTAATATCAATTTTTACAAATTTTTACTTCAAAAGATTATGGAAAACCACATTTAAAACTTCAAATGTAAAACGTATAACAAAACTTTGACTGCAAAGACACAAGTACAACGCACACATCTTAAAGAACAGATTGCTTTTGTTAAAAAATATAGCAACCACAATACATAACACTTGACGTATGTGTTATTGTTTGTATTCACCATGAAATATACAACGACAGAACGTGATCGGACATGTAAGTATAAAAATGTATCTTCTTGAAGGAATAATATCAGGATCATAGTTTTCAGTTAAATTTCAAAATTTCAAGAAACAACTATGAAGAAATTAAATACTCCACACAAAATTCTTTATCAGATTTTTCGAACATATGCATGATTTAAATTTGAAATTCAATAAAACATAAATAAACATGAAATTGATATCAAACTAATTGATAACTCAGTTAAAATTCCATTTTTTGATGGTTTAAATCAGATTAATCACGATGGAAATTTTGTTTCAAAAATTAAGTAATATAAATGAACAATGTTCCCGATCTCCTTTTATTTAGACATATGGGCATGTCTTCAAATGTACTAAGATAAAAATTGCTAAAACATAATCTTTTGCTTGAGAATTAAGTTACTGATGAAAATTTTGACTCCACAAGAACAAAACCTGATGATGATGAAGCATTCCAAATATGATCTTTAAGAACAGCAACTTTAAATTCTTTTTAGTGACTAAATTACTGGAGCCACATCTATTGCATTCATATCAGAAAACACACATACCAGTCTATATAAGTTACACCATTCAATGTATGAGAACATTGAATGGCTGGGTGACAGCAACTGCCTAGAGTTTGAGAAGATTCACCTCTGCCATGACTATTCGATATCAATTCTTCTTGATCGATATGCTCTACTCTCTCTCTCTCTCTCTCTCTCTCTCTGCCATGCCACCCCAAAAATCAAAAAATTGGATCATCCTCCCAAAACTTGAGAGCACTCTGGAAATCTCCATTTGACTCTTAACATCAGTTAATTAGCAAGTTAGATCGACTCGTGTAAATAACTGGAGTCGAAATGCCGCTTAATCTCTTTCTTCAATCGATAGATATCGTGAAGATAAATTTATTCCAATATGTTCATAATAATTGACAGAATATTATTGCACACACTCTTTGAGAATTTCAGAAAGGAGCTGAAATCGAACTGTCTCAGAAGCATGGACCTCTCTCCGGCTTGGAGGCAGGAGCGAGCGACTCTATCACATCCGAAGTTGACGATAAATTTCAACACGCTGTGAACGAATGGTTTAGACACATGGAATTCCATCTGATGGCAGGAGTTTAAGGGTCAGAACCATCAAATCAAACGCAGCATGCACAAAAGCTTCCCCACTCCAGGACCTTATTTCGAGAAGGGTATGTACCACGTAGGACGTCATGTTTGGTCGAACGCTCGGTCGGATCTGCGCGCTTGCTGCTTCAGTTGATGACAGCATCGGTGGCGAAGATTGTGATCCTGGCCGATTCCTCGATGAGGACGCGGTTGATTTTGACCATGGCCTTCTTGATGAAGAACGACCACTGCTTGTCGCAGAAGCGGTAGGTCTGCAGATGGCCTCTGAACTGGACCACGGTGCTCACCTTCTTCGGGATGATGAACTTCATGGACTTGTCGAACTGCATCAGCACCTTCATGGCGAGAAGGGGGTCGATTTTCCCCGTGAATATCATCTCCTCCAAAGTGGCTATCAGGCACACGCCGATCGACGACTTGCGGTACAACTCACAACAATCTGACATCGCGTGCTTCTCCTCTCGAGGTCTGTCTGCGATGAAGTCACCAGCACGCACCACACCGCAACCCCACTTCTTTCTTTGTTCCCTCGATGGCTGGCTGATTTACAAATTCTCACCTCGGACCGATGAACTCACCATTCATGCAAATATCGCTCAGCTGAAATTCCCGACGGTGCACAATCTTTGAACCTGAAGCACTTTCCATGTCAGTGGATTGAGAATCCTGAGTGAGAGAGGTAAAGACGCATGCAATAAATAGGCGATGAATTTCCAGAGCAGATTGAAGTGGAACCTCGAGGATGCCCAACCCTTTGTTTGTATGTATGGTGTGACTGGTGACCGATGACTGGGACTGATACTGACACACGTGACTGTCAGCAGTCACGTGTGTCAAATTGGTTGTATTACGCAACGTCAATACGTGAATTTGAAATTCAAAAAATTTTCAGATAATTTCGAATCGGTCGGGTATGACGGATAGAATCAGCGCACCAGGTTTATAAGCAGAGAGTAAAACGCTTAGAAATTGAAAACGTGTATTATCTTTCTCATAGCGGAGTCTCAAGATGCAAAGGTTCCAAATTGCAAGTTTGGGCAACGACCTCATCATTTTAGTTCCAATTTGTGGCAGACTCATCCTCCAAATAGCTTGTTACTATCAAGGATTTTCTCTTTCTCAACAATGCTTTCATTGCCCAGTAGTATTAAATCAAAACATCAAAATTAAGCTTAAATCGTGTTTTTGTTGTACTGTTTCAACAGAAAGCGACCTTCTGCTGAGCCTGATGAAGCTACAAATTAATGGTTCTGGATCCTCTTATCCAATCGACAGGCCTAAATGAGTACGATCGCAACAAGGAAACGATGACCATATTGAAGAATGTCGTTACGGTTTTTCTATAAGATAGTCTCAAAGTACCACTCTATTACTTCCTAAGAATTTGAGCGATCAAATCAGAAGGTATTAATATATTGTTCTTTTTAACAATCTATTTAAGAGCTGGTCCCTTTGTGTGCAAGTCACATCACACCAAGAGAATGGAAGAAGCAGCAGTCGGTCACGTTTGGTGGTGATCGTGTACGAATCATGTGAGGGGATACAAGAGCGTATCTTGGGCCAACCGTGCCCAGGGCAATGATGATTGCTTAACTGCTCCATGTGAAGTTCTGGAAGACAGATCCAATTGATTTCAACGATATATTGTGTATATCAGAAGTTGTGCCTGACTGCTGGAAGATCTTTTGAACAGTAATGAATCAGCGAGTGCGTGAACTGTATCTGCCTGCTTTCAGACAGGTAGTGTCCAATCCACTCACATACACTTTCGATGTGACCTTCATCACCTCATGATAACGTGCCGCCTTGGAGCTTCTCATTTGCATGCCTGCATGCCAATGGGATAGGACTAATGTCGTATGACTCTGGAAATCTTAGAGTTACTGCCAGTTCTAGCTACAAGGGACACTCTCTTTCTGCAACCCGAATGTCATAAGCGGTTGACCTCCATAAATGCAAGCCTGACGGTGCCTTTGTACTTGCAAAATTCCTCCAAGTGCACCGGTTTACTCTTGGAAAGAGTAAGCCAAAATGTAGATTCTCCAGGTGCCTTACACTAATTGTAGTTGCAATGAACCTCCGTATTTAAGTGCATAAATAACGGAGGCTTCAGGTGAATGATGGAATGCAAAAGCTGCTTTACTGCAACAAGGTTGAGGTTGCAGGGAGAGAGAGAGGGAGAGGGAGAGAGACAGCGCTCAATGGCCGGACGGGTATAGTATTGACTTCAAGGGTCGACGATTTGTGTCAACCTTGGAAAAAAACTTAATATTGTCTCGAACTTTGACCAAAGAACATTTTCTTGTATCATTAGATGTATCCAGTAGAATGACAAAATGCCTCAGCCCAACGAAAGGATCTGTCTTCTCTCTTTCGATTAAAGTCTGTCCGGTGATGCAAATGCAATGTCCGACTCGAGTTCGTAGGAACGGCCGAGGATTCTAGTTCAGCAGAGACCAGAGTTGGTGCAACGGATTGTGGTATCTGACAGGAGTACATTTTCAGTCTGTTAACAAGTCGGTTTAATGAAGCTGGAAGCTTGAAAGGCCACTTTAAATTAGAACTACAGACGAAACTGATTTCTGGTGCAAACCCAACGCATGTCTTTGACATGGATCGACTGTTCAATTTCCAAAGGATATTTTTTCATAGCCCAAGCTCCTCCTGAGTCCTCAGCAACTCTTCAGGTTCTCTGTAGGGATGGAAGGAGATGGTTTCTTTCTGGCAGATGGTAACATGCTAATAAGTAGAAAGATGAGCAGAAAGATGAGCGAGAAGTTAATTTTGAGACATGAGCCTTGCGTCTCTGTACAGTCTTCTTAGGAAGACTGTACCAAGAAGAAGCTGAGAAGTGAGCCATCTGTTGAGTGGGTGCTGTGTACTATCCCAGCTTATATTGGATCGTACAAGAACATCAGTTTCCTCCAATATTGGATAGCCAGTGCAGCCTTGTTCGAAGTTTAAAGCACTCTTTTATTTGCCAGAAAGAATCTTCACAACTTTTCTAAAGATATTGGCTCTATCAATAAGCCAATCTCACCAGATTTAGTACCTCCATTTCTTTGGCTAAAAAGTTTTCGTTGCTCGTTTCGGGCGGAGGATTCAGGGCTGACGTTCCCAAGGACGAATTGGAAATGTCTGTTTCTGGGAGGGCCGGAAACAGCAGGTTGTCATGATCCATCGTTGGAATGGTTCATCAATTAGTGTGAACCATTTCAATGTTCATCCCTGACCATGATCCTTGATCTCCACAGCTTACTACTCTGAGATTGTTGCGGGCATCGCGTCAGACTAAGCAAAAGGCACATTCTCAACACCAGAAAATAGACAAGGGAGGTGTCCGAATGTAGAGTGAGTGCATAGGTCATTGAAGTGCAATCCATCCATACACAAAGCAAAAGAAGATACGGAGATGAGTTCACTATTCAACATTTTCTTGGCAGGTTTCTGTTTCCATTATCAGCTGCTCAGTAGGAGTCCTCGACGTGAGGGAGGTGAGGGATGTGACCAAAAAATTTGCAGCTCCCGTGATGCCTCAATGAGTGAATTCAATCACTATCTCATTTCCAGATTAGGATTTAGCCGGTAGAACTATACTATATTGATCGCACAATGATTGATTTAATCGATACTTCTACGATCTGATATGAAGTCCATCAACTAACTGTTTTTCTATGAAGGGTGTACAAGTTCAAGTTCAAGTTCATACTACAACATTCCTCTTTTCAATATCTCCATTTAAATTTTAAATTTTTTTAGATTTATTTATGTGAAGAGCCCAGTTTGGGTCCTTGATCATTTTCAAGCTTTTCCTTGTCTTTTTTTTCAGGCTTTTCCTTTCTTAGAGTCTGATTTCCTTCAGGATGGACAAGCACTTGAACGTCTTACTTTTAGATCACGTTGAACATCATCATATCGCATGGCTTTAAACACGTATCGTATCTTATCCTTGAAAAGCTTTTCACCAAAGTCTGACCTCGGGATGTAAGAAAGATTATTGTTAGCGGAATAACACTCATTGCATCAGTACAACTTGCTCTCTAGTAGCTCAATGGAGCGTTGTATGATAAGTACCTGATGGCGTAATTCCACTTTCTACATTTTCTTCATTGAGCTCCAACAGGATTAAACTGATCAATACCATTTTTTGGGCTGGCAACTGCCACAATGTTAGACGAAACATATAAGTTCAGCTCTTCCGCAAACAGCCATGTCAAATGTAAGATTAGTATGGAAAACTTTGAAAGTAATGATTAGAGAAGACAGATGGTTGGAAGTTTATTCTCTACGTGAAAGCATTTGCAATTTGTGAGGAGAAAACAATTTTGATGCATGCATCGCTCTCATTCTATACAACGACTGAAAAAAAATTATTTTCATGATAGTAGTGATTCATGCATTAATCTGCTATAACCTCGATATTATGAACTTTATGGCAAAAAACTTTGATTAATGATTATCACGGAAATGATCCAACAATCAAAGTACATCAGTTGCGACCAAATTTTTAAGAGACTTGGCCTCAGTTCATTTGGCAGTCAACATTATCCATGAATCTGATTTTTATTTCTCATGGAAAATGTAAAGCTGTAAATCTTTCGCGTATGACTACAGGAGTAACAAATAACGACTATCTCCATGAAGGTCAAAATATGACCGAGACATCGGTAGATTACAATGATACGGATGTCATTATTGCTGCAAACTAGGAAATACATTCTCGAGCATCTATCAAAGATGGAAATATAAGATAAACATTTTTCATCATTTTTCAGCCCAAAAGTAAAACAAAGAGAGTCAAGAAATTCCGTTTAGTCATCATTTGACACAAAATTGAGGAAAGAAAGATGGGGATTAATGTACTTAAGCTTTAACTTCATGAATTTAAGCTTTACAGTGATCCAAGAGCTTATACCCGAAAAAAATTAAAACGGAACGCAATGATTTAGAGTGATCTTTGGCTTCTAGTTCAATGGAGTCGTCTCTGGTAGACGGTGTTGCCTTGACAACGCCGTCTCTTTCACCGGTAAAAAGTGCCAGTTTCATTGTGTCAGAAGATCCATCGAACCATCTACAGGAACGAGATAGAGGAGTGCAAAATGAATTTTGAGGAGACCGTTAAAAAAATTCTCAAATATTTCTTGCGGTTTTTCTGTTTGTCCTTTGTAAAAGATTTTGCAATGTACCAGTCTTAATCCCATTTTAGAAAGTTTTGACTGCTATTCAGAGAAGAAAACGGACAATGTAGAAAGCCCAGGTAGTCTAGATGACTAATTGTAAAATTAAATAGCGAGAAGAGTACCAAGGGAGTTCAAGGTATTTAGTTTTAGCAACAAATAGTGATAACGTATCAAGTGATGAATCGATGGCAATAGTTAGGGTCGCTGAATTCGAAAGAAAAAATAAACGCTGGTCACGAAAGAAATGAATGCCTTTTCAGAAGATTGTTAAAAGAAGCTTTAGAAAAGGTTTATGATTATCTTGATAGCTCATGGGGCGAGTGACGACGCCTTTTGTGGTGATTTGCATCGTCACTTTAATAGGTGGTATATGAGAGTGCTACTTTTTTGAGACAAATAGTGCACTTCTTTACATTTAAGAAACGACAAATCTTATGATAAATGCAAAAACTCTAATAAAGCCATATCATCGTTAATTTGAAGACTTCGTCAAGTAAGATGACATATATGAAAGATCAAATCTATCTCGCTTACCAAAAGTAGTTTACAAGCACAATCTATATGTGAGCACGTTTTGATTGAAAAACTTGAATTTAAAAAAATAAAAATTAAATTAAATGTTGGTGCTTACATGAATATTGTGTCTCATCTTCGTAAATCGGCGCAAGAGTCATGTTAGGTTAGTTATGAATGCACCTGGATTTTAAGGATATCCTAGTCAGCAGTTTTAATGTGGTTCCATTCATCAATGATGTTTACAATGATCGCTTCAGCTAGCAAAACTCGGATTTCTTCGTACCTTTTTTGTTCTGGGCGCCTATTTGTAAAGGAATCTTGTTGTGGTTTTAAACCTACAATTATTTTCAGACATGAGCTTTATGTTGACAACTTTCAATCGCTTAGTTTAAACACTCCTTTCACATATTCACTGATTTTGAAATATAGACATAACATTGACCATGACATGATTTTGACAAGGGCCAATTTCCATTCCTCAAAAAGACTAGCCATTGCTATATGCCTTGATTCTTCGTTAACACTGTCGATATACAAAGTTTGTTTGTACACTGACATCTCTCATCAACACTTGCCAGTTACCTGCTTGTCAAATCTGGACTATGTTCTACAACATGTTGAAGTGCACACCAAACTCAAATTGCACTCAAAATGGATTCAATTCATTGTGAAGCCAATAATATCGTCTTGACAGCCAACACTTCTCAAGCAAGCTTTAGTAACAAAAGACCACCACCACTACCTGGAAGATTGCTTCTGTCACTAGACGGGCAATTTGAACAACACCAAAGACATGTTCCTGTTATAGACCTTAATTAGAAGGATATAGATCAGGGAACGTCCAGAAAACGAGAGTGCCCCTTTGGCCACTCCACTGCTAATTATCACCAGGCTCCTTCCTCCACAAGTCTTCATTTTTTGCAAAGTGCTCAGAGTTTAAAACCGCAATTTCATCTTGCAGTTGTTGGACGACAAGGGACAGTATCTTGGCAACGCCTTTCAGCTTCATGAACAGAAGACTCCTGCTTGCAAATCCTGCTTGCTCGATTGAATCCGCCGTTGTCAAATCCTCGAATTTGCAATTCAGAAGCGCCAAGCTTCGAGCTTTGTCCTCCAGACAACAGGCAGCACCTTTCCTTACACTTTACTGAATTCATCCACAAGGTCGTGGTGCCTATTCTCGACAACCTCTATCAGCTCGTCATATATCGTCAGTCTTCGACTCTTGAGTAAGATCAGAGATGGATCTCTTCCCTCAACCCCACGAAATCTGAATCTTGACCTGCGTGGGTCCCGATGAGCCTTTCTCGACTGCCTCGACTGCCCGCAATTAGTCCTTGACCACCACGATGAGCTCGAGCTGAATCTGCATCTTGTTTCCCAGCTCTTACATAGCATCTGGATCCCCACGGCTTCTATCGGCCATCTCTTCAGACTTTTATTCTTGCACTTCATGCTACGACCTTCTCCACGCCTGGAAGGTTGCCCCATCTCTCTTTGTCCAGAGGTGATGCAAATTATCCAGCCCTCTAATCATTTCGAAAGTTATAACCTGGGTTCAAAATTGCAAATCGCAGCCTAGTTCAGTCAGAACCTAACTTTTCTTCAGCAAGTTTGATCTTCAATTTGCGATCTTCAATTTTCCTGCAGATCTTAGAAAGCTGGAAGGGAAATTCAGGCTTCCAGGCTTCCAGTTGCCATGTCTAGTGACTCAAGCTATTTACTCCGTCCCTTACTCGCTTGATCCACTTCTCTTGCAACCTAGAGATTATCTGACATTGCCTGATCTGGCTATGTTATTCTCATCTAGTTTTAGTTTTTTTATTTCCGTGGTAAACGTATAATAACACGAGTACGAACATAAAAAACACTCTATGTGAAGATCGTCTGATGAAAAATCAGTTGCAAAATTCTTATTTGTCGGTTGTAAAGTAATGATAATATACGTCGATAAGATTATTCTGGGCTGATTTTTAGATAAATTAGTCTTGGGGATCAAGCTACATCCGCTATGTATATGTTCTCTTCTATATGTACATTTTATAGAAAATTTGTTCAATCAGATCATGTAAAAATCGTTAATTTTACCACATGTTATATATGTCTTTCCTATCCTATTTACTTATGAAGTAACTAGTTTACTTTCATCTATATTCATTATCTTCTTGAGTTTATGGATAAGTGCAGAACCTCTTTAATTGCATTAGCAAGCTCTCGTCTGCTACCGTAGCATTCCTTGCAGGGAAAGGGGACTCACCACTCCAATCTGAAATTCTCAGCTTGCGGGTTGTAGGGAGAAACGAGAGTTTACATGCTCGAGTGAATTCGCAAAGTAGTTGTTTTCCCTCCTTCCTTGATTTTCCAGGCTCGGAAAGACGAAGGACGTCTTCAGGAAGGAGAAAAGATAGACGAGGCTGTTCCAGCTTGCAAAAGAAACTTCCTTCCAGTGGTCAGCCGTCAGAAGAGTGTGGAAACGAGAGATGTTTATGGTCATATAGATCTGATCTTATGAATATGTGTACACATACATTGTTGCGTCGTTCTCATACACTAGACCTTCGTCTGCAGCAGCCAGTCATTCGAGATTCTCATTGCCTTGCCCTTGCCTTACGTGCGTGACGAGATTCCCTCACTGCACTCAAAGGTAGCAAAGCACCTTCCTTCTCAAACACCGTGCACCTTGATGAAGATGTTGATTCGCTAGAGAATGACCCACTCCTACACATTCAGATAGTCCGTCGCAGATCTATGGAGAACGCTAAGTCTTATAACAAGCACGTTCAGTTAGATCCGTGATAGTCCCTCTCTCTGGCTCTTAAAACTCCACACTTAAAGCATAAAACGGTTCTCCAACCTTTCTTGCTGTTAAACTGGACTCATAATCAGCCATACAAATGTTACCCAAACCTTTCTTTCCGTTAAAATCGACACATAATAAGCCATAAATCGGTAGTCTTGCCTCTCTGAATGTTAAACTCGACTTTCAAGCAGCAGCCATAAAACACAAACGAGAGCTGAAGAGAAGAGGAGCATCCTCTGAGTTTATAATAAAGCCCTTCCACTGCATCACCGGCCGTCACTGGCCTGTCCTCGACAGCCATGCCTCGAGAATGTATGTCTACGCTTGCAGCAGGAAACTCGGACTTGGACTTGATGGATTCACGACGATATTGGACAGACCAGGTCCACTACAGCTTTTACCACGGGGAATGGTGAACTCTATGCGGTCCCTTGTTCTCAGAAACAGAATAGTTCGATCGATGAAGACGCTTTTTTCTTCATGGGGAAGGCTGAGATTCCTGGGAGTGGGAAACACGAAGAAGGTGTGGGTGGATTGCTGCTGGATCGACCATGTCGTCCAACCAACCAACCAACCAACCAACCTTTAATGCCCCGCCCCGCCCGCACAAGGAAAGAGAGGGACAGGAATCATTTTCGGCAACAAGATGGACGACCACCAAAACTATCGATCCGTTCGGCCAAATTTCCTCGCATACCATCGACTTCTGTGGGGTGAGGTGGGTGGGTGGGTGAGTGGCGCAATAAGCATGTCTGATATTCCAAAAGCGGTCAACATCTCCTTCGAGAGCGAGGTCGCCAGTTTCTACAGCGCGGGGGTGGACGGGAAGGCTCGATGTTGGGATGTTGGAGGCGATGAGGACTGAGGATACCAGGTCACCGACGTCTTCCTGTGCTGCTGCAGATGGAGCAGGCGCTCGTGAGTTTGTGAATAGTTGCTGATTGCGTTGCTGGACGGGTTTTCGGTGGTGGAACTGACACTTCTCTCCGGACTGGATCCATCGCTTCGCGTCTGCTCTGCTCTGCTCTCACGGTCCCAACAATCTTTATGGCCTCCCTCCATCCTTGAACTGGACATATCCTCCTCCTCCTCCTCCTCCAGCAGCAACATCAGCGAGCCTGCAAATGGCATCGTCGGGATTGCCGGTGCCCCGAGGGCACATGAGGAGAGGATTTTCTGATGCTGCTGAGAAAGCCCACGAAAGCCACTGACGCTCTCTCGGACGGAGCTCGAGGTCAGAAGATGGCAAGGCGCTAGCCACGAGGGAGCGCGAGCGATTCCTTCTACTGGCCTTGGAACCCATGGGGAATCTGCCCGATCGGTCTTGGCCTTTGCTGCCGGATCTTACTCTCTCCCAGTATGGCACGAGTCCTCTGAAATTTACACGGATTTCTATTTGGGACATTCTGTCTTTCAGGTTGAGCCACTCGTCAGAAGGGTCGTCTTTCCGAGTTGCTCTGGGCCTGAGTATTTTACTCTACTGTCCATCGGAACGGACTCTTGTGTTTGAGTTTTCTGGATTGAGGGTGGCAAAGGACGTAAGTCAATCTCATGCCTGCCCATCATCAGAAGGATGGATTTGAAAATTCCCAAAATCCCCTGGTTTCGAGAAGGACCCGAAATTGCGATCAGATTTGACGCTTGCATTGCATGTAAAGTGTTTCTTATAGGCTAAGCTCGCTCCTCGATCTAAACCAGCAGACGTTCGTCCAGAATCGAGCACTATGAATGATATGATGCCATGGAAGCAGCAAGGCATCGCTGGCGGCACGAAGCAGTCGAATCGAGGTAACACGATGAAAGAAGTACTGAGTATTTGAAATGCAACATGTGTATGCAGAACCACACTTCTCTGGATCTCTCAAAAGTGCAAATGATTCTGGAAGAGTAGCATATTCTCTGGGAGCATGGTACTATACGACACTAATATTATTCAAACCAGTACTCACACACTCCTAGCGACATGAATTCACGACATTATTCGCTGCCATGCGTGCCACATCCATGTCTACATCTACCCAGAACCGTTAGCTGCAGTTTCAGGGCCCAGCTCCCAGGTCCCAGTGGACTGGAGTACTACGGTGGAGTAGACCTCGCACGGCTGTGGATTCCAACACCATGAGAAGAATCAACACCGAACGAGCACTCTCAGGAGATTCAAGACAGTTCCTCGGGCAGTTTCAGCATCAGTTCATGCGTGCAAGGTCTGCTCTGCTCTGTGGAAGGACCGAGGGAGGCGAGGATGAACACTCATCATGTCAAATCCTTTCAATTTTTTCTAGCTGACCTCTGGTCTGGGCTCGGGAGGATCCACAGGACTTCCCTCGACAAAAGTGCTATAATTTCCCATCAGTTTTCAAGTGGATGGGAAGGGGGCTCAACGGAGAAATCCAAGAGTTTGAATGAATATGAATGGGATGGATGGATGAGTGGAAGGAAGCAGACTCACATGTTCCCGATCCACATGCGCCTCTCAGGATGAGGATGATGACGATGATTCTGATTTTGAAAACCACTGACGGAAAAAGGACGAGGAACTGCACGGAGCTCGTGCCAGGTCAGCTTTGAAAACCATGGGGAGAGCCTCAGAATGTTGCTGAAGACTGAATGAATGTATGATTGATTGATTGATTGATGGCGACGAGGAGCACAAGGAGATCAAGCGAGTGAGAAATCATTGGCAAGGAAGTGGATGACCAGCAGAAGGAATGTGAAGGGCAAAAGGCCTCAGGCATCGACTTCAATCAAGCAAAGTTGGTTGGCTGATGATATCTTTTACAATGGAAGAGCTGGATCGGATGAGGAGATTCTCACATGCTGCATCGCCTCCGTAGGAAGCAAAGTGAGTGAGCCAACAATGAAATGGGGAAAAGAGCAGAACAGTGCATTTGAAGGTCGAGGGAGGAGGCGTGGTGGGGCACATGATCTACAGTACAGTCCAGTAATGCGGACATTGTGGAGGAGAAGAAGGTCATGGCTCCATGGTTCGAGACACACGAGGACCACGGCTGAGACAGCGGGCGAGCCCCATCACAAGTGTTGTGTCGACACGAGAGGTTGCGATTGTAGAAACCCTCTCTCCAATGAGAAGGAGAAACCACTCCGATCCCCAATTGCTCCATCCAGGTGCGGATCAGAGCCTAGGGTTTGACGGTCTGGTCTCGTCTGCACTTCGTCTCCCTCTATGGAGCCCGTTCGTTGCTTGTGGCTGGATGGCTCCTTGCCGCGACAAGAAGAAAATCAAATCCAGCAGTTTGGCGTTTGAAATGATGGGAACAGATTGGCGGGACAGAGATTTTAGGATCCGCTAGCCTGCAATTAGGAACCATCGAGGATTGATTGAGGAAGATGAGCATTTGATGCATGCTCTGCCTGCAGAGACAGAATTTCTGAGGAGGTAGGTATTTTTCTGAACACTGGAGTTTCATTTCAACAGGTGTGAGAGAGAATCTGGCGAACATTTTTTTTGCGTTTTGTGGAATCTTAGTGGAAAGGGCTCGAGTAGCAGCGACTGCTCTAGTGCATCGGTCGCAAAAGTCAGAAGGAGGAAATTCAGATGGAGACGGACTGGAGGAGACTGTAGGAGCTGCGTTTGGAGGAGTTGGAGTTGGACGCAGGTTTGAGCTATGGGACCCGGAGGATGTTTTCTTTTGAATCTCATGCTCGTGTTTTCCACCGCCGTCACCACATCTGCCTCGAGTTGGAGATCTCCCTACACAAATTTTGATCAGCAACCTGACTGGAAGACACAACAACATGCAAATTCTGAGTTCAATCAAGTTCATCGTAGTCGTCAGAACCTAATCAGACAAACCTCATTGCGCTGGCAGCAAACCCGACTGTCGGCGGCTTCCTCTTCCAGATTTCGATATCAGGTTGGTGACCTTCACCTTCTCAGCACCCGACCTGCAACGGAAATCAGGAATCAATCAGCACATGATTTCAATGCAGTACAAATCACTGTCCGTTCTTGCAGTGACATTGAGGTGGCTGACACTAACTGAGCTCATCTTTGTGAAAAAAAATCCTTACTGAGCTCACCTTGTCTCCATGCACTCAGCTCTAGGTTCCCTTAACAAAGAGGTAGCTCTCAGACGAAGGAGGTGTACGGCTGGTTTGAAAGAAGTTCATATAGACAGTAAACGGTCTATGGAAAATGTTCACAACTGCCCATGAATTCAATCAGCTCCTATGTCGGAATTGCCATTTGAATAGAGAGAACTCTATTCCGTTTATTTGACCTGCAGGCGTTTCATATTATAGATATAAGAATGAAATTTTCAATCCTGCAGCTTATGGAGCTAAATGAAGATGGAAAATGACTTTGCAAAACGGGTCCACTCTCACATAGTGCATGATTCTGCACCAATGACATGAACCATCGTTCATGTCATTGAAACTGCCTTCTTCCTACAACCCTCGAACTCTTAATCATTATGCAATTGTTTTCGGATGTCCTCATACACTTGTATATACTGTGTGGAAATCGAGGTACAGGAGTGAGAGATATAAAACACAACAACTTGCCCATAGTCTCCCCTGTTTGCTTTCATAGTTGTACAGGAACTGGTGACGACATTTGCTGGCTCGACTATCCAGCTTCTTCGACGCCATGATCCTGCTGACGAATAACTTAACTTGCATCTGATCTTTACATCGTGTAAATTAAGTACACAAATTCTCGTGTCCATACTGCCGGAATCCTACCTTAACATTCTGTCGGGAAGTAGTGTGCTCTTATGCTCTGTGACTGCTTCCGTCAATGCTCTTGTTCATTGCTCTCCGTTCATGTGGCCTCTTTTAGAAAAATTACATGCATACAGAAAAGTTCTCACTGTGTGTTTATTCTTATTCTTTGGCATGTCTCAACCGAGCGGAACTTTTGATTGCAAATTCCATCATAAAATACACAACGCAACCGAGTAAGAACTATCAGGAACTGATCAATTGCATGTGGTTGTCGTCATTGTAAAAATGCATGCGCGATCATGATTAACAGTGTCAATGAAATACGGAAATCAGATTTGCTCGTTGATGTGTTCAGGGACTCGAGGCAGGCTTTTATTACTCCAGAGTATTCTACGTCACAGACAACGGGGCAGATCCCTCAGGGCAAAAAGACAGCACAGAAGCTCTACAGAAAACAATCACTGAGGCTTTTGCTGTGGGTTCCGCTCATGACCTCGACCCTGGTATTCCCGATCTCGGAGGAGTGGAGGTTCATCTTGAGGGTGGAGAATATCTCATCAGTGCTCCTCTCCAATTCCCAGCAACTGGAGGTGGCAATATCGTGGTACGTAGTCGATCTCTGATACCACTTCTGTGCGTGTCTCAATGCGAAGTCCATAGAGAAGACATCGACTGTCCACTGAAAGTCGTTGGTTTGAAAATTTAGTCTACTGTTTGTGTTTCACAAGCACCGCACCTCCAGGACACTGGGGCTACCGCCTTCAGAATATCATGTGCATCTCTGTGTGCTTACAGTTAGTGGATGGTCGATTGTGGAGGGACTTGTTAAATGCATTCGCTTGACTTTGGGTTATAGTCTGTAAGGAATGTTGGATGGTCGTAGTACTGAGTGCAATTCTATGATAGTCATGAAGGTATGTAGACAAGCTTTGTCTAACCTTGCACCAGAAGCGCAGACTCCGTGCGATGCCAAGTTGTTCGCTCCCAGTTTCAATAAAACATGAAACAGAGAAATTTATGTCTGGTGTCTTCAATATAATCTTGCTGGGGCACTATCATGGCATCGGAGGTTGTCGTAAGCAATGCTCTAGACTCGTACACTAGCTCACGGACAAGCTTTGCCGCATCAAAACACCTTTGATCACGAGTTGTCCTACATTTGTTGCAGATACATGGAGGCACACTGCGAGCTAACGAAACATTCCCAACGGACCGCTACCTGCTGGAAATGTGGTCAGCAGCTGGAATTCAACGAAGATCTAATCGCACAGTGGCATCCCTTCGAGACAGGAGTCATCATTCGTTGAACTGTTTAAAAGACTACATCGCTTCCTACGAAGACATCACAATCAGGGACATGATGTTCGATGCAAACTTTCGAGGAGGAGGTCTCCTGATCGTGGACTCCATTCGTATCAACGTGGAGAACATGTATATGTCCCACTATACAACTGATGGAATCCTTGTGGAGGGAAGCCATGAGATTTACATACAGAACTCCTACTTTGGACAGTTCATCACCACGGGAGCATCTCCCCTCGAGAAAGATTCCAGTGGGGTGGCCATCAACATAATCAGCAATGACAACGTAGTATCAAATGTGGTCATATTCTCCGGAGCTGTGGGAGTCCAAGTGAGCGGACAAGGGAATCTTTTGACAGGAATTCATGCTTACAACAAACCCACGGACTTGGGTGGCATAGGAATATTCTTGCAGCTGCCGGGCTACTCGCAGACGCGCATCCTCAACAGCTACTTGGATGGGACTGGGATAGTGGCAGATGATCCTGCACAGGTCGACATATCTCACAATTTCTTCAACGGGGATGCCTATGTGCTCTTACGGTCCAGTAAAGTCGACCACTCCATCGAGCAGGTGACCATCATGAACAACATGTTTGCCGGAAGCTGGAGGGGCACACCCATCGTGCAGCTAGATCAGAAAATGGGAAGTTTTGCTTTCGTGGATCGGACTATAGTGGATCAGAACACAGCATACGGGATGAAGCTCAAAGCCACTGTGGCCAGAGCTACTGTCAGTGGCTATGGCAGGAAGTTTTCCACTGATATTTCTGACAGACTACTCTTCCCAAATCGCATACAAAATGTACAATATTCTCTTTTCGTTCCAACGTCTAACTCGTACCCGAGGTATGCTCTACGATCAGTGCAAGACAATCGAGTGCTTGTTGAAGCAGACTGTAAAGTTTCAGGGACCTTGACCGTGGTGGTCGATCAAAGTAGTGACATTCTGTACACGGTGGGTTCTGTCTCTGCGTAGACCAAAAAAATCAGAACTGATCTTATTTTCTTTAGGACGCAGCACCTGAAGCGTCAGAACAGGATTATGCGTCGTGCATCGGCTTGTACATGTACTGTGAATACTAATTTGTCATGAGTTCGGGATTAGCTACGAATGACTCCATAGCTCTTACCTGCTTGTAAAAGGCCCATGAGAGTGCTAGCAATTTTGCAAGAGCACAATTTTGTTTGTAAGATTTCTTAAATTAAACTTGGAGAAACTCTTGATCAGGTTATGGTGTGAGCTCCAACAGAGTCGGAGCTTGCACACTTCAGTTGGTTTTGCACACAAAGTTTGTAATGGAGGACCTTCGAGATACGACCTTCCAAGACACGTCGAGTAGACTTGTGTCCATCATTTGTAGTTTTGATGAATCACTCGTCTCCATTGTTTGACCTTGCCCATTGTTGTCGAGTTTTCATTCTTTTCATTCTCATTCTTATTTTTATACCTCTGTAGATAATTAACTTCATCCCTGTCAATTGTAGCTTTGTGCGCAACCGGTTTGTGAGGATTGGCATGAAAGTTTACCTACTAGTATAGATCATCTGACTTGATTAATTGATTGATTGGCATGTACCATGGAACGAGGAGTTCGTTCTTTTATATATCTGATGTGTATCATAATGTGTATCAACTCAATTTATTGATGAAACGGAAATAAAAGTTTAGCTACTAATAAAGCGCAACCATTTTATGAGGATTGGCATGTACAGTGGAACGAGGAGTTCGTTCTTTTATATATATCTGATGTGTATCATAATGTATATCAACTCAATTTATTGATGAAACGAAAATGAAAGTTTAGCTACTAGTAAAGCGCAACCAGTTTATGAGGATTGGCATGAAAGTTTACCTGCTAGTATAGATCATCCGACTTGATTAACATTTCCATGTAAAGCAATTTATACACACTACGTATATAGATCACAGTTGCAGTCTGCTGTTATATTATGTGGAACGAACAAAAGGTCATCCACATAGCGATACGTTCACGCTCTTGAACTATTTCAATTCGCAGTGTCCAAATCTCACGAATATTGCACGTTCTCGTCAACTGTGTTTAGTACATCAGTCGATACTAGGGTCTGATACATCCAAGAGGTTCAAAAAGTAATACATATATTTGTATACTAAATTATTTATTTACTCTTGAAACTCTTGGGTGGTTGCACTAAGAGCAACACGATTTGCACTGTGTGTCAACATCAAATGGATTGAAGTGTAACACCTCTCCTCGACGACTAGCATGCATGGTGATTGAAAATCGAGTGTTCAAAACGGTATTACACTCAAGCACACTTTTATTGTTTATGAAATCTGGAGAATAATTGATCTTATCTGAACCAGCACCTAGAAATGCGCCATGCGAATTGGTAACATTGGTGAAGCTGGAGGCCAAAGCCTCCAACTTCATAAATATGGATAACAGCAGATGCAAAGCTTTGAACATGGTGGTGAAAGTTTGAGAGGTGAGAGGAAGAGATTTGGAAGAAACATCGAAATAGAGGAGTACCTTGAAGACAAAGAAGTAGAATACTCTGAAGACAAAGGCAAAGAAGTAAGAGACTAAATTTCATGAGAGGTGAAGGCCGGCAGAGTGGAGCTAGGAGACTCTCTCTGCCTCATTCAGTGATCAACAGAAACACTAAGGGGCCAGAACATGGTATCGACCGGGGCAATAGAGGGAGCATTCACAGGAGTCTGCGGAAGGGCAGGGGCAGGGTGAAAGGGCAGGGGGCGGAGTGATTCCCTAGCCGCCGTTCTCACGTACGGTTATTACTGTGATCCGGACTCCCCCAGGTCAGTGGAAATGTCAGAGGACGTACAGTTAACGACCACAGACTCGTACTGTACGTGGGCCTTGGTCATGGGATGGTCACCGTAGCAGATCTAGAGAACGCTCGACCGTGACTCCTTTGGTCAAAGACAAAGGACGATGTAAAGTCCGAATCAATTTTGCATGGCAACGATCTCCAAGAAAGATGGAGCCGGGGCGAAAAGACCATTTAGAAGAAACTCATTTATCCATTCATTTATTTATTTATTTATTTCTTATTAACTTGAAACTTCATTTTTGTAACAGAACTTAATATTGATTATGCTTCAATCAAATCTGGTTAGTACTCACTGGTGGATGCGCTGGAGCACGATCATGCCGGCAGAGTTACAGGCATGCTTCTCAAAACAGAAATGTTGCACCGTTTCGAGTCACCAGAGGCATTCAAGGAAAATGTTGCCAAAGCTCTTGTATGGAGCTCTTGTGCCTGGCACGGCTGGAAGCAAGTATCCTAGCTTATCGGCTCGCCCCACACACGACAGGTTTGTTTGAGTCTCTATTTATTATTTATATTCATTCATTCTCCAATCAACCTTGTCCAAATTCTATATATATATATATACATATACACACACTGTGGATTGATATATATATGCTGATATTAATCAAGATAAAATGATAGTTTTAAGTAGATTTCCTCCTTAATTCAATTTTGATTACATATAATCAAATTTACGTTTATCATATTCATGTACCATAATATTTATCGTTATAAAAATAAGCGATTCAAATTTTTATCATAAGATAAAATTATCTTTAAAAATAAATTAATTAAATATCTATTTTTATATCAATGAAATATCTAATGATGATGAAATATCTATATACAACAGATTAGGTCAACATGGTACATATGTATGTATTTAGAATACTCCTTAAATTTATCCAAATATGACTATGCTTAATCAATTTAATATATAATTTTTTTGTCCTTTGCATATGTATGTATTGAAATTTATTGGTATGACTAGATCACACATCTTGTTTTATTCTCCCGGTGCAAATAATTCTTATTCCTCAATTGAGAAACACTTGAAAATTCTATACCTTTTAACGGTAGAATATCCTAAAAAACAAGACAAAATTGCATGGGTTGCACAATCTAAAATGATTAAACATCCTTTAATATTTTCATTAAATCATTAATTCATGATGAGTTACACAAATGTTCCTTCCATATATCCTTTGTGAATGCTAAAGTTGAATCCATCTATTCAAATTGTCATTTATTGTTTTAAAAAAATTGACATGATTTACTAGAATGATATAAATCATTGGAAAAGAAATTTACACATTTTATACCAGATATATAATACAACTATCAAGGCAAAACTTGAATTGTGAATTTCTATCTCGGACATAAATCTGAATCAATGATTTTTTCACTTACTTACTTTTTCTTTTAAGTTGAACTATCATGTATATCACAAATGTCATTTGTAAAAAAAACGCGAAAATTAGTACAAAGTACCAAACATTGATCTCGAAGTAAAAGGATTTACGATGAGGTATAATTAACACTAAGAATTTGAGTTTCGAAATTTTCATACTTCAAAATTACTAACACAAAGCAAAAAAATATGAATGTTAATCAAATTTGCACAAACATTAACATAACCTAATAAACAGAACACTTTTTCAGTCTTTTCAATTTTTACTTTAGTAAGGTCTGCTCATAGTCAATGGGAATTACTGTCTTATTTTGTTATATCCATGATATATTCTAACAAATTTTGAAACTCTTGGTTACTATACTTACACTCATTTTAGTCAATCTGGACGATTTATGAATGATTCTTTGTTTCTCCATGTAAAAGATGCCTACTCACTACTAGTGCACATATTTATGTGTACCAACTGTGAGTACGGTTTGGGGTGTGGGTCTTCTGGTCACTGATAATGAAAACTCTCATGACATGTGACCCGAATCTACAATGTGTACGTCAGTATGTGGATGATTCCTGTCTTCTCCTCCACACGGTTCGCTCTTTGATACTTAAGCACTTTGTAGTAGAAGTAGATCTGGGTTAGAAGATCGGTCTATGCAGTACCAAAACCATGAAATCGCTGCTACGCGAGAACGCTGTAGGCTGAACAATACTTCTCTCTCGAATAGAAACGTACTTCTGGGCGCTCGGTGACAGCCGGCGGCTTGAACGAAGTTCACAGGGAGATTAGCGTGACGATGCGGAATTATAAAAGCATTAACATTCACCCATGCGGAATTTCTTCTAACGAAAAAATCTGTTCAGGTTGGATCCTAAAAACTGCCAACCTCACTTTTGCTGGTCACCACGAACTTCTCGTGCTAGCTTAGGTGATGCAAGACTTCAGACTAGTTAAGACGACCCGTGACCGAATACATGTCTCTCTTCCTAAAGTGTCAGGTATTGCCTCTGTAAATTAATTACAAATTCCACCAACAATACATAGTCCGGCTAGTATCACCCATGACGCCTAGTCAACGAGACCACCTGATATACTTCCGACAGTGTCTTGTGGTTACTGCGGAGTGATTCACTCTGCGGGCAAATCAACAAGAACCCGCCAGATATTCGGTGTGAGCTGTAACACGATAGGGATAAGATCTTCGAAGTCGATCTTCTTTAAGTCGGCACGACGCGCATAAACGACAGGCCTCGTTTCTAAGAAGGCACGGGCAATCTGCTCCAGTCGGTTTTTGAGTGAGTAACGTGCCATCGAACCAAAGTCAATTCGACAATTGTGATGAACTTCATTGCAAGCCATGAGTTCTTTTCGGTGAAACTCGACGGGACAAAACTCCAACGAAATATAATATAACATAGACAATATTTAATAGATGCAACAGACACAATAATAGATAGACATTAGAATATCATGAGTTTTCATTCAAAAAGAAGTATATCTGAATCTATGTATCCAGCTCTATACGCAGTTCCAATTGGTTTGAAGGACTGCTAACCTACATGGGACTTGAGCAGAGGAGCTTAAAGAATAGCTCGCCACTGCTGCTGATCGCCATAATCTAACATCAAACTCGTAACTTCTACTACCACCAGCTCAAAGACGTCTTGTAAGAACCATTCAGTCTCCAAACACATAAATAGAGCCTGACCAGTGGAGCTCCAAACTGATAAACCACTGACCAGCTCCATAATCGACCACTCACGATAGACCACCTACTACCAAAAGGAAACCAACTGAAATCGTCATTGGGTCTAGAGCCAAACTTGAACCACCCTGACTCGGTAATCGCGTACTCTAAAGTTGCAGAATTGACTAGTTAAAAAGAGGAGCAAGGAAAAGAAGTGTTGAAAACTGGACCAAAAGCAGAGGAAAAGAGCAGATTGAAGAAGTATCTTAGCCCCAGCTAATGAAGATTGAATTATCCCAATAGCTTCCACACCTTCCATTTATAACTGGAGATTAAAAGCCTAGGACGTAAACTCAGCTGCCTCTATAGCCCACGAAAAAATGGCTTCACCACCTGATGGAGATGGTGGGAGACAGCAATGCCACATAAGAATGCCGAGGAAAGTAGATTACTGATAAATCCTTCAGAAGAGACATTAGAAACTCGAGAGTTGTTAAGCTCCAAAAAAAGAGAGAGCTTCCGGAAGCATCATGGTACCCCCAATCCCAAAAAGAGTACATAAAAGATACTGTACTCTACATGGCCAATGCTCTCTAGGCAGCCACTTCATTCAAAGTGAGGTTGGCGAGCTGATCAGCTGGGGTACTTGCTGCCTGCTGTGCCATTCGCAAGACCTCCATAGCTTCGGCCACCTTTGCCTTCAATGCCTCTGGAGACTCAATAAGATGCAAAACTTCTGTCTGGTCCATTTCGAGAAGCATGCCTGTAACCTTGCCGGCATGATCGTGCTCCAGCGCATCAACCAATGGGTATAACTGCTCACCCAACATCTGGATTGATGACAACCAAGATAAAACTCAGTAACAAGTGGAAAATTTACATTGCTAGAAAAAAAACAAAATTCATGTCATGTGTCAAGAACATTAGATACACACACATAGTCACATGTATGATTCAATCACTGATGTGCTTCCAAGAAACATAAAAGTATTGCCATGTATTCTTACCGCACGCTGCTGTTCAGGCGGCGCTGATGCCAAAGCGGAGGCCAGGGCACTGATGGGAAGTGGCTGAGGGACACCAGCATCTGCAGTAGCAACAGGTACACCGCCCATTTCCAAAGGAACAGGAAGCATTGCACCCATAATAGGAGGCACTGTCGCATCAGGTGTGTTCCTCGCGTTGGGAGTGTACCGAAACCCACGGTTTCCTCCACGTGGCAGCATCTGTGACAAAATAAATCAGCATCGACAAGAGTAAATCAGTTTAAGAAAGTTGATACTCAGTCAAATCGTACGTGCAAAAGAAAAGATGGCAATCCCCAACAGAATTTACAGTTCTTCCACTCGTTTCCAAATTTCAACAAATGCAAGATGGCATATGAAAGTCCACATGAGTATTGATAAAGAGGATTGAGCAAAGACCTGCTGCTGAGGCTGCTGCTGCTGCTGTTGCTGCTGTTGTGGGGCACCACCACCCCGTCTACCTCCACCACGCTGTCCACCTTGTTGTCCCTGCCTTGGCACGACAGGCACAAAGTAGTTCGGAATCTGACCCCCGGGTCTGATTCCAGCAAGCATTTGCTGCTGATAACCGAAGCCGGCAGGCTGGTGAAGTCCCCAATGGCCACGACATACACGTTAATAACCAAATGTGTGGTGCATCGTGTAATAATTAGAGACAAAAATTAGTTATCTTCGTCAACCAGTCGACGATGTCCAACCACAATAAAAGTCAACCCAAGTCCTCCAAGAAAACTCAAGATAGCTGGCCAAGCAATAACCTAACACGACCACAGGCAACAAACCAAAGATGCCTAGAATTACCTGAGGCGGGATCAGGCCGGGTGGTGGCTGTCCATAGAAGATCTGCTGACCAATACCTGGAGCTCCAGGATGGTACATAGGCAGACTTGTAGGGACAGCTGGGCCAACGCCCACAGGCGTTCGCATTTGCGCAAACTGTGCCTGAGACTCACAAACAAACAGAAAAGAGGTTAGTTGACAGTATTTACAAAGATTTGGACACAATGAGCAAGATGAGTCCACAAAGATGAACATCCGACTGTCAAGTCATCATTTGTAAAGTCTTTCTCTCAAGTTGCATGTCCAAACGTGATTCATTGTTTCCAATTTAAAAAAAAGAGTAAAAAACATAACTACCACCTCCTTCGTAACCCTACGGTAAAGCAACTAAGGATATACACCTCTGATGTTGCAGGGGTGCCTAATTCCTTGGCAGCCCTAATCCCATGCCCCTGCATTTTCAGAAAGCCAAAAGCTTTAAGTGCCCTGTCGGAGCTATATATCTTAGGACTTCCACCCAGGAGGCGGAATGCAAACTGAGACCACGCCTAAAAGAAAAAAAAAGCTAATAGACTGGTGAACTTGAAGGAACTCTGAGAAGGACTTTTTGTAACCAACCTGCAACCGGGCCCTGCGTTCTTCCTTGCGTTGAGCCAGAGCGACATACAGTGGTTTACTTCCAACCATTCTTCCATTCATCTCTGCGACCTGCATATCACAAAGAAACGCTGATAAAATCAGAAACGCTGAGGGACTTAGGTTTGATTCGAAGGAGCCACGATTGCCTTCACTGCGAAGCAGACTCGATGTGCCTCGATCAGCTGGATGATGCGTCACGAGGATGGGTGGATCTACACTTCAATATCAAACACGATGACGACTAGATCCATGAAAATGATGGGAGCCAAACAAAACAAACTCCAAATGACTATGTTGTGAAGTGGTCAAACTAGATCTTCGAACTGGAATAGGGAACAATGAAACTCATGGCACGATTGGCTTCCCCAGGCTCTTTCGAACACAGTTAAGACTAGATCTAGGAAAAACTCTAGTGGCAGCCAAACAAAAAGGAACTGAAAACAACTATGCTATGTGTCTAGCTAATCAGACAAGGAAGATAAAAACTCACCGCACGATTGGCTTCCTCGGGCTGAGAAAATGCCACGAATCCTGAGCCTCTGCTGAGACCTTGAGGATCTCGCATAACCTGAATGCAAGCGAAGTCAACCATCAGTATTACTGGTGGTGCAAGTGAATCCTTCAGGTCACATGCATCATGATAAACCACTAGCTGGGAATTCACAAGGGATTTCATTGCCACCCAGTTGTCACCTTGCAGGAGGTAATGGTACCAAACTCGTTGAATAGCTCCCTGAGCTTCTCATCATCGATAGTGTCATCCAGATTCTTAAGATACAAATTCACTCCTTGGTATTTTTCAATCCTCTCTTTCCTTTCCTGTTCAAACTTGGCCCGCAATTCCGCCTCCCTTTCAGACTTCTTCTGGGCTCTACCCACATACCACTCCTTCTCTTGTATCTTTTTACCGTTCAAAGCTTCGACAGCCTTGGCGGCGTGGTCAGCATGCTCAAAATTAACAAAACCGAAGCACTTTGACTTTCCCTCTCCATCTCTCATAACCACTGCACTGCTAATTGTTCCAAATTCACCAAATATCTTCCTCAGGTCCTCGTCAGATGTATCCTCCGCGATGTTCTTCACGTATACATTATTGAATTTGGATGCACCACTCGTCTGGTCTCTTTCCTGACGACGAACGAACGGCCCCACAAAGACTTGTTTGTCGTTCAAAAGCATGCCATTGACCTTCTCAATCGCACTCGATGCCGCTTCCTCCTGCTCGAACTGCACAAATCCATAACCCTTGGACAGGCCAGAGCTGTCGGTGGCGACCTTACAAGAAAGAATGGAGCCGAAGGCCGAAAAGGTGTCGAAAAGGGCCTTGTTGTCGATAGTCTTATCCAAGTTCTGGACAAACAAGAGAGGCTGTTAGGTCAAAACAAAAAAGTGGGCGAATGTAAACAGCTCCAGTAGATCCTCAAAGCTGCATGAAAGAGTAGATGCCCCCTTGAGCAGCATACCTTGATAAATATGTTTGCAGTTCCACTTTTCCGTCCACTTGGATCACGGTGTGAGAACATGATCCGAATGGGTTTCCCGTTAACGGGAGTAAAGTTAAGCAACTCCAGAGCACGGGTAGCTGCAACAGATCACAGGTATGGCGTCAGCAGAAGACACACGCATCCAAGGAAAGGGGAGGTGGTAGAAGTGATGGTGACGCTGCGAGCGACCATACGTGTATGCACAGATCACATATCACCGCGAAGTGAAAGGCGGGATCTAAAACCTAGGGCAAAGAAGAACTGAGAACACGAAGAAAGTGTGGATTCAGAAGAGGCGGAAACTTGCGTGCTGCGCCATAGACGCACAGAGCGGACCAACAGAACATGGAAGATCAAAAGCAGAGCCTTGGGAGATGCGCGAAGATTAAACCCTAAACCATGTCATTGTCGCACCTACATTTCACCACGGGCTGCGTAGTGAGATACGTACCATCTTGTGCGCTGTTGTAGTTCACATACGCGTAACCGAGAGAGCGCCTGGTGATCAAATCCCGACAAACGCGAATTGAGACCACCGGTCCAACCTGACTGAAAATCTCGTACAGCTGAGCCTCCGAAACATTGGGATCCAAATCTCCAACGTAGAGAGAGGTAGACACAAACTGAGAAGGGGCAGCGCCTGCTGCCTGCTGTGCTGCCTGCTGCTGAGTCTGCGCCTGAACTGTAGCCATATCTTCCACTTCTGGAAGCCTTTCAACACTTTCTGTCTCTGATACACTCAAACCTCCGATCTGACGATGTACAGAGTTTTCCACAGTTTATAGAGGCAAGAAGAGAGAAAACCTTGCCAGAAACCTTCCTCGCCCGTAACAGATATAGTGTAGGTCTTACTTTTGGATTTTTTAATTTTTAGGGATTTTTAGACCTTGCTTGCAGAGATAGACTCCAGGAACCAAGAGCGGCAGTAGCGCCCCGTGCACGGCAAAAAAAAACACCAGCGTTCGAGAATGACAGGCGACACTAAAAATCCAGCACCTCCGCACCCTCTCGGCGTGTTCCGCGCCCTCGTTTTCTTCGACCTTGAAGCCTCTTCTTCCCCTTTTTTTCCTTCCCTCGTCCCAATCTCTGCTCGCAAGGCCCGGATTCACTGCCCAACCATCGACGCCCTTCAAAGATGTAGGCGCGTCAGGCCTGCGTCCGACTTCAGAACAACATCAAAGACAACTCGTTCGCTGAACCGAGGGGCAGCACCATGCCGTCGATGGCCACCGTCTGCGCCCCGATCCAACACAACTCGCGCCCTCCGCCTCCTCCTCCTCCTCCTCCTCCGCGCTGCTGCTCTCTCCTCGCCGGAACTCACAGAAAGGGAGGCGCGCGAGCAACCAAGCTCCTCGTCTCGACGCTGCGGGGCTGCTGCCTGCTGCTGCTGCAGAGTTCGAGAGCCGAGGCCAGCCACTGCAAAAGAGACCCTGAATCGCGACGGGGCCAAGGATAGAGGCACCACCACTCCCACTCCTCCACGGGCGAGCCGAGCCCTGGCGAGAGCCAAATACAAATCACGGCGCAGCCGAGCACACTCTCTCCTCCTCCTCCTCCCTCCTCCACCACCACCACCAGACAGACAAACGCCTCAGACGGACCAGAGTTGTATAGCGACAGACAGAGCGACCGACCGACCCCGACCCCGACCACCACTCGCCTCCCTCCTCCTCCTTCCTTCCTTTCCTTCCTCCCCTCCCTCCCTCCTGCTCCTCTGCACGCCTCACCTCACCTCCCTCACCTCGCCTCCTCCTCCTCACAAACAAATCCCAAACAAACAAACGCCTTCCTCCGCCTCGGCCCGAGACTCGAAAAGAGAAACTCCACCACCCACCGCGAGCGAAAATTAAAGATGCAGCAGCACCAGCAGAAGCAGCAGAAAGCAGCAGCAAAGGACAGGATAGATAGATAGATAGCGAGTCCACCACGGGCAGCAAGCAGCACAGCCTACAACCAAGCCAAAGCGAGCGAGCGCGAGCGAGCGAGCGAGCCCCTCCTCTCTCTCTTTCCACGATATCCCTCAGACAAAGAGAAAGCCGCTACCCCTCCTCGCCTTCCTTTGCCTTGCCTTGCCTCCCCTCTCCTTGCCTGGCCTTCCCTTCCCTTCCCCTTTCCTCCCATGCCGCCCGCCCGCCCCTCCGCCCGCCCCTCCTCCTCCTCCTCCTCCTCCCGCTGCAGCTGCAGCTTGTTCCGCTACACCACCTCCACCTCCACAGGATCCACGCCAGAGTCCCGCGACGGGGATGGGCGGGCCGGGGCGTCGATCGGCGGCCCCGCGCCATCCGACGGCGCACGCCCGCCGCGCCCCGCGCCCGTCGTGACACGACCACCGCCGCGCCTGCGCCGGCCCGACTGCGCTCTGGCGCATCGTGGCCGTTGGGGCGCGCATCCACGGCGCCCGGTTCCGGATTCGAACCACGCTCGTGCCCTAACAACGTGAGCCCGCACAGAGCCAGGCCAGCTCACGCCGATCCGCGGGGGCCAGCTCCCGAGCGGCCTGTGCGACGGGCTCGACGGTCCCGATCGCTCGCGGCCCGCCATCGGACGGTCTCCGCACTCTAGGGGCGTCCCATGACTTCCTCCCACTACGGAAAACTCTCACGGCAGTCCGTCCGTGATTACCGTAATCTCGCGTCCTAACCCTCCCATCATGTGGGTCGCTCGGCCGGTCAATCCCTGGTCAACCCGCGATCCGCCCTCTTTGGAGCCATCCCTCCGGACAAAGCCTCGCCCTCCCCTCCGTTTTGAATTAGGGTTAACGTGCCTCTCCAACTTCTCCATCCGCTCGCCTTCTTGCTTGCGCTTGGAGATTCGAACCATGCCATCGGATTTCCCCTTCTCCCATTCGAAAATGCGCCGTGCTCCACTGCGCGAGCCGTTTTCGGATCTGCCTCGTACACCCACAAATATTCCAAGGTTTTGAACTTTCGAACTCATTCGCCTTGTCCTGGTTTTGAAAAACATTCGGTCGCTACGTTCCATGGCCGCGCCAACGGCATCAGAACGGCCTCATAAATTAATCGAATGAAATTCGAGTCGGAATCTCGCTCTTCCCCAAAGCCAATTCTCCTGCATATACTCGGGGATACACCTCTTGCAAAACTACGATGGATCCCAAGGCTTTTGGTTCTTGAAAGACCCCGATTCTTCTGAACAAGGGCCTTTTTTCATTGTGGATCTCGCTGTCGAAGGCACAACATGGTTTATGCGATTTCATGGAACTTCATTCATGCTCGTGTTCATCACACCTCGACAAGATTTCTACATTATTAAGGCGACTGGTGCTTCTCATGACATTGATTCACATATTCCTCATGTCACTCTATGCTGAAATCATTTGCCAAAGAGAATTCTAGTGACTCTTTTCTTAGCTCCTCGATCACATTTGATGAAATTGTCTAGGACGCCTGAGATTTACAATACGTTGAGATTCGTCACTAAGGGAATCACGAGATATATTGCAAATGATCTTCCACACCGTAAAAAAATTACGACCAAAAAATTATCATTTCAGTCGGAAATGTAAACGATATCTTGGAATGTATACGAATGTCAAAATTGGTTTGATATCTTGGAATGTATACTAATGTCAAAATTGGTTTGAAATATGAAAATACGTTTTTCATACATATATATGTCAGATGTCAGACTTGTTCCGATCCATTATTATTCTAAAATATTATTTACAAATTAAATTAAATTAATAATATATGTATATGTCTCTTATGGATTTTACTTTTTTTTATACTTTCAGGTGAAAGTTACTGCTCTTTTATTCTTCTCAAGTATAAAAATATCATCTTGCCCAAATGTACCTGATTAGTAGGAAATAGAGAGAGTACAATTTACTCATCATTCAGCACTCTCTCTCATCAGGCACATCTCCAATCTAATTTTCCAAAAAAATCAAGGATATGCATGGTAGTGAAAAAGTAGGAGCAAACATTTTACTTCCATTTCATTTTATAGATATATAAGTGATGTAAAATTATACTTGCTTGATCATTATGATTATCACAGAACAATAGTAATAATATGCACTCAATCTTGTTCATGGAGACCTTGGTGCTTAGTGTATACTAATAGTAATTTAAACATGCACACTCGCAAAATGTATACTTCATATAACTTGTAAACCACTATAGTTACGGATTCTTTCAAATAAGTTATTTTTTTCCCCATGTAGCAACCAATAGTTCAATATAACAATGATGGTGGTTTTATTCTAAGCGCTGAAACTCATAGATTGAATGATTAAACGAGATAATATGATTTCATTAGCAGTGAAATATCCCATTTTATTTATAACCTCATCTCTCCAAGGTATATATATATATATGATTTTGCTACATTAGATGTAAAAAAGTTACAACTATGCATACACAATCGATGAGCATGGTATATGCGAATTAGAACTAAGAATGTTAGGAACATTTCTCCCCGGTGAGTGAACATCTTTGTGTGCAGTATCTGAACTAGGAATGTTGCAAAATCTATCAAGAATGCCTTAACATCTTGTTGTGTGATAACAACTTTTCTAAAGATATCACAAGTGGATAGCCTCTAGTCTACACATGTATAACATGCAAGAGGAATTTTGTAGTACATGTTGACATTGCAATGTAGGAGGCAGTAATAAATGAACCTATAGATGGCCCACAAATCCATTGTGGCCATGCATGCTTTCGGAGATTATAACTTATCACAGCGATTGATGAAATAATGTTTGTGAATAATGAACATAAAGCATGTTCCATAGTGAAATCCAAGAGAAATCCATGTAGTAATCTTCCTTTTGTGGCAACATGTTAAATCCCAAGTAAACATGTATTGAATGGAAAGTGACATTCGTCAATAAAGGTAATATGATACCCAACATAAGAATACTTGTCGAAACAAAAGATAACGAAAACAGAATGTGTTCACTCAATAAATCAATCATCCTCATTTTACATCAAATATGAACATGATAATTGAGTGATTAGATGTAAACAAATGCTTCACTGAACTTTTGATGCCATAGAAGTAAAAAAATTATGATTCCTCAAAACATTTCTTCAGTCCGCATTTCATTATACCGCATGTTGCTCATAGTACATTCAGTTTGAAGCAAGCAAAAATATGTGTTCTTAGAGTAAGGTAGATAGGAGATGTGAGTCAGATTAGAAATATGAGTTTTCAGATAAAAAGAAATCATTTAAATGAAATAGTGGGGTAAAAATGAAATGATAATATTTGAAATAAAATTATCCATCAATTCATTTTGATCTTTTTATTTGGAATACATTAAGATGATTTTAAAGTTTTTTGCGCTTAAATTCAAAATTTTGATGCAAAATATATATTTTACTATGCTTTCAAATTTATATCTGTGATGATAAGAATTATTTTTTCCTAAAATTATACATATTTTTCATAAAAATTATTAATATTAGATATTAGTAATATATTACTGTTTAATCATAATAACCAGTTTGAATCACATATAAATCACAAAATTTTAATTTTTGAATCCGGAAAAATTATGTCTTCAAAATAATATTAGCAAACCACGAGTTAAAGGATGTTTTTATTCATAACTACCATAATTTTTGAAAAAATTATTTGTTCGTCAATAGCTCATTTTTACTTAAGGATAAAACATGAATATTTTTAATAAAATTATATTCATGATAACAAGAGCAATATGTGTGAAGTTAATCATATTTTATTATGTTCTATAATTTATTTTTTAATGGCCACGCAAAAATGATTGTAAAGAATTAAACTTCACATGTCACACACATTAAAATCTATTAAGTCATACAAAAAATATCTAAATCATTTTGAATGAGTGTTTCATTTTGCAGGACTGTTGTATTTAAGAGGGTAATATTAAAATCAATACCTATTCATCTGGATTTTTTGAAAAGACGAATATTTTACATAGATTTAAATGCTGATAACATATATTTATGATAACATGAAGATTAAAACTTGTTTCGGATATTTTTAGCATTGCTTTTCAGAAGTTTCAAGACTATGCAGGATTATAAACATAAAAAGTCATGCGCATTAAACTTATAAAAGATAAGAAAAAATAAAAATGAAAAAATAAATATAAACTCAACTTAAATGTTGGTCCTTGAATTTCACAGTATTTAAATGTCAGGTATAAAAAAGCTTTAACCGTCGAAGATTATGTTGATTTAAATAAAGATATCTGATTATTAACAGATGTGAAAAGCTCAATTCAAATATTATCAATCCAAATGTTATGTGTTTTTAGTAAAATATTGAAGATGCATTATGTTTTGCATTCTCATTGTCAAGGGATTTATATTTTTTTACAGAATGTTACTTTTCGTGACACATATGTTTTATAGGAAGCTAGATAGTAGCACTACAGTTGCATTAGTCTGAGTAGACAATATGCAACTTAACAAATACTCAAACATATGCAAAATAGTCATTTAAGAACAACTCCAATATATAAGTAGATGATTCTACGCAGAAAAGGAAATAAATATTTCACTTGTGTGCCAATTCAAGCTGATTTCTTAGCCTTTGAGGCTTTTTCCCTCTGAACATACTACATAGAATGAACAGTAATGAGATAAAGAAGGTCAATATCTGTTGAAATAAGTAATACTCTTATAAGAGAAGGAAACGCAATTTTGCAATTTCACATCCATACGTTTTATTTGTTCAATCCTCGTGAGACTTGATAGTCCATCAAGTCTGACGGACTATTCCCATACTTTTTCGTTTACTGCCTGTACCCCTCATTTTTGCATATTTACATCCATAATAATTCAAAGGATGATGAGTCTGACGGAGTAAAGGTAACCTCACGGTCATTTGCTGAACATCAAAATCATGAACCTTTGATTCCATTGATATCTTCAAAACCTTGAAGTAAATTTCTTGCGACAAACCATTTCACAAATCATAAGCATGATTGTAAACATGCAACAATGCATGATATGAATTGAAGTCGAATAACTATAATCATAAACACACAAGTTCAGTTACAAACTTTCCGCAAGTCTGTACACATTTCCACATCGATGAAAGGTGGTCTCAAAGGCGGTACTTTAATAAAAGAAAAGAACACGATTGCTTGTTCACATGGCATTTACTATTCTGACTGCAAACGTCTAGTATTAATATATTCATGCATCATACCAAGGACGTGCAGTCTGACAATTCTACAGTGAAATTATTTGATGAATCCATGGCGGACGTGAAGCCATATACCAACCGACTCTACATCTCGTTCTGGGAGCTTTTTTCACGTGTAAGATACCTCCTAGGTAAATGACACATGACGCCTTAGGCGAACTCCTCGGTTACATTCTTAAACAGACAGAGAGTCACTTCACATCTAATAATGTTACCGTAACATTATTAGGAACACAATTGCAGTATTAGGGATGCTTCTGGGTTACAGGGTTACACAGATTATAATTCGAGAATCGGGATACTCAAAATATGGAAAATCTATATTTACAAATGTTAAGAAGCTCTAACCAGTTATTAATCAGATCAACAATGCGAAATGGAAAGCAATTGGAATGAGTTTTTAATGGGCGACGGTTTCTATTCTATTCTCACTTGGATCAATCGTCACGTCAGGCGATATTTGCGAGAAGTGATTGAGTTACGTGTACAGCGTGAATAACTAAATCAGGCTAATCTCAGAGTGAAGATTCAGCCAAGGGTAATCTCGGTGTGATCGTTCAGCTGACAGTGAACTTACAGATTCCGTGCTATGTAACAAAAGACGAAGTAGATATTGTCAGCAGATGCGAGAAGTTCTCCCGTCCAGTACACATCTCACACGTGGAACAACATGGTAGCCCCGCAAGACAACACTGTGGAAGTGGCTGTTCGAAGCGGCAGAGATGAACAGAGCAGGGAGAGCCTGACGATGCATCCCATTTCGTGAGGAGGATGGACTACGAGGACCGACGAACGCGTCAAAAGTGCCCTCTAGCTGATGTGCTCATCCAGTGCTGAGATACAGAGCTGTGCATAGACCGATCGATATCGGAGCTGTGAACTTACTCCACTGTGTACTAAGTGTGATGACATATGTTCTGAGACGATGTTTGGTATCATGGCTCGCTCGGCGCTGCAGACATGAACTGGAGGTGATGAAAAGAAACAGAGTACTCTGTTGATGCCATGATCGGAACAGCCACTTCGTTGATGGTCCATCCATTCATCCATCCATCCAAGTCGCTTGCAAAGAAGGTTCGATCTAAGTCATGATTCATTGTTGGACAGGATCTGAAAAGCCCAGATGCGATCGGACTCTATGGTGGTTCGTGATTCGGTCTTTCTGGACGAGGAGTCCGACTATTGCTGTATGTTTCGGTTGTGCATTTTTATATTTTTAGCTTGTATGAGTAATTTCCTATGAGCGAGAATCGAACGGGGCCTGGTTTGGCGCCCTGTCATTGTCTTCAGCGGGCATCGATGTTACAGGTGATGTGGGATCATCCAACATGAGAGCTTCCAACACTTTTGTCATTCATGTCTGGCTTGGCTGGTCTGCGAAAGGACACACACATATGATGTGTGTGTCCTTCTAAGGAATGAGGAACTGCTGTTTTACCCTGGGTAGAATTATTAAGTTGGAGTTGCTTTTTTCAAATGGTCATCTGTAAGTATCATAGCTTGCTCTGTTCATCGATCGATCGATCGATCGACTGATTTTCGTTTCTTTTCATTAGAGAGATCTCTCGACGATCTGACTGCATGCAATACTGGTTTCTCACACACTGCGAGATCGGGTGAGAAGAAGTATAGATAAAAGACATTTACCCCTCATCAGACAATATCCTCATTCACAGACATTTTGAGATCTGTCACTTACAACTTGAAGCTTTGGAGTCCTAAGTAACTTTGATATATCTCGTAATTCTTCTTTCACAGGATGCATCGAAGTTACTGACCCCTGATCACACAATTTAGTAAGTTCCAACGACATAGGGTGTTTTCTATCCATACATACCTCTGTCAGCATCTTACCTGTCGACGGAGACATCTACTTCACGATCCGACTGGCGTGCGATGTAAGTCTGACAAGTACACAAGTTTGAAAGTAGAGTAGCCACAGTTTCTCATGGGGTCCGATGGGATGAGATGGGAGTGGAGTAAAGGTGGAGGAGAGGTACACTGAGCAACAAACCGGACGAAAGTTGGTCAGTCCAATCACCCCTGCTCGGAAGGAGCTGCGAGGTCGTGAACACCGTCATAATCCAAACGAAGGCGTCTGCCTATCGTCTATAAGTCACTCATCATTGTAATGACTCGCTATCTCTGGCCATAACGCAATCCACTAGATCTGGAAATGTGAATCAGAAGCCACAAATGTTATGAGACTACAACAAGGAAAGAATTTCTAGAGAGCTGAAAATGATCGTGGTTGAAGTCTCTCTCTCTCTCTCTCTCTCTCTCTCTCTGGATCACTTCAGGAGATCGTCGTGGTAGCTTGGAGATCGACAAAGCGCGAAGAGCTATGTTGTGTTTTGAGAAGTTGCGTTTAAAATGCATGACACATAAAAAGACAAACATGCACTTAACTCAACGAGTCAACACAAGAGTTTACGACATTTGGACCAAAAGGGACTGGTTTTGTTTATTTAGCGGCAATTGGAGACCCAAGTCGAATAATATTACGAGCAGAAGGGACAACCTGTGGACTTTCCTCAGGAGCAGAACACACGTCCTCAGCATGGACAGCAGTCGATGAACCCTTTGTGGTTCTCGTAGTAATTGGCGTCTCGAGTCGTGTACATGTAATTGGAGGCCTCGACTGTGGACGATTGCTCGGAGGTGGGGGCTGATCTCGACCATCAGTCTTCAGGCATTCATCACTTCCCCGGCAGTCCTCGTTGGGCTGCACCCAATTCCGAGACCTTCGTCGATGGTTTTTTTGCGGAGGCTCTACCGAGCTGACTTGACGAATTGCTGGAACGAAACTCGGATCCGCATATCTTGAATAATTCTCGGTGTACTCAAACGTCATCCATTTCTTACCACATCTGCTAAACTTTCTAGGACACACAAGACTCACAATTAACTTTTCCACGCCGGCCTTCTGGAAACACCAAAGCCATCGATTGTGTTGAGTGAATAAGTGATCGCCATAGAACCAAACGATCAATCTCGGTGCATTCTGGGCAGAGATCTTTCCCGAAACTATCTGATTCACAGTATCTGCTAGGCTGCGCTTGTCGTCGAAAATGGACAGTATAAAATCTTGTGAGTATCTGATGGCGCTAACAGGCACCACAATCCCGTGGTGCAGCCACATCCTGATGATCAATGATAACCCGCTCGCTCGCAGGCCAAGCTTCACCCGAATTCATAATGGCCTTGCCTAGACGTTTGCTTCTCTCGGCACTAACACACTATTTCTTTTCTTCGCATGTGTATCTGATTATCAATTGTCAAGAAACGACGGTTTTTCCACCAGAGTGTACGACATCCCGTCAGCTGCTAACAATTTTTTTCCTATCTCTTCCTCCGACCCACCCAGGCAGGCTTGAGTTGTTTCCTTCACATCTATCCACATTTCTCTCTACCATGCTGTGACAACTGTCGCATTTCATCTAGAGAACGTAACGATAATGTGACTGTCATTTATGAGCCGCCAATTGGTAGTTGTACTAGATTGTACCTCACTTTCTCCCTTTCACACGCAGTTTTATTATACAGTTTCGCTCGTGTCTAAATTGCAAAGTAGAAATATAGTGTAGTAGATAAGGTTTATTCAATTTCAGCATTATCTTTTAGTAAACTAGAAGCTTAAAAATGTTCACTGTATAATATTATAGACATACGTGTTTTATTGAATAGTGTTTATTTGGCCACTTGATCATAATACATTTTTCCCCTTTCACATGGTTTAAGTTTTAAGTTTTTCAACTTTACTTTGATGACTTGTTCTATTGACCTACCTAATTTTTTTTTTCCTCTTCAAATTCACAGTAAATATGATGTTAAAACTGCAAGTTGAAAATTATACTTGAAAATTATGTTCAATCTAGATATCATTATGATCTTCACACCTTCCTCCACTTCTTCGAAAAAAAATTCCGATCGATGTAACTAATCATTCTCACATGAACTGCACGTGGCCGAGATACCCGCATAACAAACCCAGCTTCTCGAATTTTCAGTGCCGTGATGGATACAAGATTTAAACATTTATGTATATAATAAGTGGAATGTTACATACAAGCGAAGAAACAGATGTCTCATGCTGTACAGCGCATGTCTTTTTCCTGAGTGAGGAGGATTCGAGGAGCATAGAACTCAACAAGTCCTCACAGTGGCCAGAAGAGTTGGCAAAGGGGAGCAATAAACAACAAGAAAATGCCGATGGTGATTGGGACTCCTCGTTCCGCGAAGGCTTTGCGTACACCGCCAGCAGCCTTAATGTGATCAACGAGGAGGTACACACCGATGGCCAAACTGATAAGCTCTCCGATCAAGGTGAAGCGGACGTTCACGAGCATCATCGGGGCAGTCACCACCAACAGGATCAGGCACGCTGGTAGCTCAGCATGTTCTTTAAGTTCTAAAACAGGCAATGTCAGATGCGGAAGACCAAAAATATAGAGGCGAGTAAAGAAGCATTAGAAAGAGCGTCACGAAATCATAACATCCATAGCTGAAACACTCGTGAAAGATATCGGCAGTTTTCGTGTAGGGCCGAGCTTATGCAAACCTGGAAAGTGTTTGGGGAAGAAGAGTCGCAATACAACGGCAATGAAGGCAAGCCAATATCCGATGTCACCGCTGCGGAGAGAAGACAGAGAAGTTAGGCTCGAAGCTCAGATCTATTCCAAAGTCAGCTCCTATTCTAGAGACAAATCCCACCGTGCACAATAACAACACATAAAAAAAAGTTTCACGAGGAAGAGGTTCTAGAGAGCACGATTGACCCTAACAAGGAAAACTTCACCAAGGAAAAGAGAGCAGGCATGTACCGGAGAATTTTGAGGAGAACTCCCGGAAGATTAAGTCCAATGTAGGGCACAAGCAGAGCAGTAAGAATGTTGGTCCTCCAGTTGGTACGGTCCAAGACGAATAGATACCTGCACGGGGAGTTTTCTACAGTCAGACCGGATCCAGAAAACACGAGCAACCAGTTCGCCAGGCGTAGGACTTGCAGTCACAGCTCAAGTGCTCTCCGACTGGCTCCATGAAGTCACGGATAGTTACCACCACACTTAAACTCCAGCTTCGACAAAGAGTACATCTTCATGACACATCGGCCAAAGCACTCTAAACGCTGCGTTCCCGAACCACTTGGAGCCATACAGCTTTGCACTATACAAATTACGGGCTCCATCCACTTTGCTCCTCCTCCCCTGGCTGATCACTACCTCACTTTGCTGCTCCCAAATTCACATAACTCAGGGCTGTGTATGGGCAATATTGGGACTCAAAGTGACTAAAAGGCTGTCTTCCTCCTGGCAGCTGCTTACACTCGACAGTTCGTATACTCGCTATTTCCATGAAACCAATCAGAAGTGATAATCCACTGCCAGTAAGCCACGGCAACTGGTTCCGAGACTGGATGGAGCAATCCTCTTGTTACCTGAACTACTAGTTAGACTGTAAAGGTGGAGGTACCAGTCATGTGAAAGTGCTACACCCAGAGAGAGTGACTGCTGCTGAAGCTCATGAGAAAGGATTGAAGACCCTCAACGATTGACTGACAGTCCTGTAGACCTTGAGAATATTCAATTAGTTTAGAAAGGAGCAGGGTTGAAACCCGAGAATGCAAGGTGCAAACACTTTGGGGAACCTTGGCACAAACAAGAGCGAGGTGCGCATTCCAGGAGAAGGTAAGCGAACAAGCTCAGGTGACGAACACTTACACAGCGGCGATGAGTGCCAGCCAAGTCAGGAAGCTTCCATTTGAGAAGGCGTTTCCGACATTGGTGTAGATGTGCGATCCCAGACTGCCAGTAGCGGCCATAATTGTCTGCAAATCGGAACCGATGGTCCCGTCCATGTTGATACCGTCGCTCAAAGAGAGCAGGCTCCTTGATCCAACCATCCTTAGCCTGCGAGATGTGCTGGCTGACGTCTAAATTTTAATTTTCCTTCGTAAAAAGATCAACCCCTCCTCTCCTGTTCATACCACCGCAGCGATCACACAAAGGAAGACATTTCCTGCCGCGTCTATATACGATCCCAGCTCCGAGCCCTTTCCACACCTCCCTCTTCCCCCTGGCTCCATCACCTCTCTCGACGACGCTCTGCAGTTCAGGCTACAAGAACGCTCTCTACACTGCCTGCACGTTCTCCGTCTCACAAGAACGTCGCCTACGGCAATCCCTGTATGATACAGGGTAGTTGACTACCTTGTCTCAGAGTAAACTACAGTTAAACGACTGTAACCACTAAACTTCCCAGGTTGAGCCTGTAACATGGTAACAACACTGCTTACGGTGCTTCCCCTGTGGTCGGGCTTTATCAGTCGACTTGAGGTGGAACCTCAAGTTGGGTGACAGAGGCCAGGTTCCGACTCCGAGAGCCTCCGAGACCTCTGAACTGGCAATCACCAGTCAGCTGGAGCAGCCGAGAGCCCTCTGCTCCAGGATTTCCGGTTACCTCTGCATGAGCAGCAAAGGTTTCGCCTCCGTGTGTCGGTCGCTCTCTTGAGCCGACATCATTGGTCATTGGTTTTCCAACTGTATCTCGCTCCAATAGGCACCTCTCCACATATTGATTGAGAGAGCATATATGGCTATATGGTTCATATATATTACATTTTAATAATCATATGTAATATGTTGAATTAAACTTGATGTAATCAAATTGAAATAAATTTATGAAGGTTGAGTGTATGTTGGAAACTGTACTTTATCTTTCTACATTTATTATATCTTTTGACCCGGGAACCTTAGAAATGAGGTTCAAACTTTCGTTGACTCCGTACGCAACTTCTTTGCAATAAAGTGCATACATACAGATATTTTTGCATGCTAACCACACTTGGAAGACATCAGCATTCACATTTAAGGATGAAACATACACAAGGTGAACGATGCTTGGTGAATGTGGAAATGCATTCGCTACATGAATAATGAAACATTGTTAAACGAGAGAACTCACTTCTTCCCACGGTAGCGAAGCGAAAGTAAGAGTAATCTTCGTTCGAAGCCCAACTAATTTATCAAGCTTCGCAACTCCTCAACCCAGCTATCTAGTTTTAGGTTCATGCTAATTAAATATCGAAGATGCACTAATCCTAATACATTTGCAACTATTACGCTTCTGACAGAAGCGTACAGAAGCCTTCTGTACACTGGTCATTTCCTCGCGCAACATCTTCTTCTAAATTTTTATTTGATTTCATGTCATATCCAAATTGACGTTGGACTCTTTCCCGTCCCACTCGGTGGTCAACCTCTACCCGCGGTCCAAGAGGGGAGTTCCGGCTGAGCGTGTCACTGCGGATGTGGTCCGAGAACAGTCCGGTCGTGGTCGCGTGGGCGATCGCGGTTCCGATCTGCGCCGTCGCGGTGATGCGGTGTCGAATTTATGCATACGGAGTTCCGGCACACAGAAGAGGCATGCATTGTACTGTCCAGGTCAGCAGAGGTTGGCCGGGGAATGTTTCACGGACTGGACGAGATCCAGTCCACATCGAAAGCGGCAGAAGGTGGACGAGGAGGATCGCCGGTGAGCGTGCATGTCCCCGGTGATGATGATGACGTCGAGCAGCTGCGACGTGTTGCCGTTCGAGGTGGGCTCGAAAGACGGCACAGTAAGGGAGCCCTTCGTGTGGAAGCACGGCCTGCTTCCAGCGGAGACTCTCGGTGCTTTCCCCGAAAGGCGGGGAAGACGTATCAAGCTCAGATCTGGAAGAGGGAGGACAAGTAGAACTGCTCTCCGACAAACATACGACAGGTCTCGTCGGCATTGGTCTCCGAGCTGGACTGGACCGGCGGGAGCTACTGCGTTCGGAGGAGAGCCTGCCTGGTAGGGGAAGAATCACCGCAAACTGACCTCGTCGACAGTCCGCAAGGCTACCGGCGGTGCCAAATAGCACCAGCACCAGCAGCAGTTGCCTCTACCGACACGTGTACAGGGCGTAAGCGAAAGAGAGTCTCTCTGTCGAGGTGCTGCTGAGTATGTTGGCGGTTCAGGGCCGGGGACTGTAAGTTTCCCATTTACAGTCCTGTAAAATCACTGCTATACTTGTCGACCATATCCATTTCCATCGCACGCGCGGTCATCTCCCACTCTTAATTTAGAAGAACTCTGAACTTTCTCTACTTCGTTATCCACTTGGCGCTCATTTCTCGACGTTCCTGCTGTACTAGTTCCGGTCACATAGCCAGGTAGATACGGACTGTGGTACTGCGGCTACGGAGTTCCATGGAGGGACTCCTTTCAGCGGTGTCACCTGCCAAAATTCCCAGCCTTCACTTTGTACAAGTGGAGGCTTCTTGAGGCGATCCTCTGGGAATGTGATCTGGCAAGTCTATGAGGAGACGAGTCCCAGGCATGACACTTGTACTGGGGATGGATTTGAGGTCCATTGTGTTCGAGGATCTACATGCCTATCCATGCACTCGAAATGACCGATGCTGCAGTCAACACAGCTTGACGCTCGTGCATCATTAACAATTCCAGGGCTTGAGACAAAGTGATAAGTGCCCATCGACGGATCCACGGAAACTGCCCTCGTCACAACATCACATCACAGGTTGTAACACCGCTCGCGAGATGTACTAGGCTTACCTGCTTCGAGAAGCCTACTTCCGAGAGATATTTTGCTTTATATGTTGGAATGCCGAATTAGGACGAATGAGGATTCAGCAAGGGATAGGTATCCATTCCCGTTTCTAATTTTCTGCTACAAAGAGAGAAAAAAAATCTTGTGCACTTTTCGAAGCAAACTCAGTGTGACTCTATGTATTTTTTTTATATACGTATGTGAATAGTACTTGGAGGTGAGTTGGTGTAAAGTTTAAATTATTTCATATATAAGACGCATAATGAAGTAGTATAACAAAAAAAGGTGAGGGGAAGAGTCATATGTAAGTAAACAATACATTCTGATTTTTTGCAATTTTGTATTGTAGAATATAGTTACAAATGGCCACTTTCATGCCATATCAAACCACCTTATCATGATCGTTGTTTGATATGGCATGAAAGTGTTGATACCCCCGGATTAAGATGGGTAAGCGTTGGAGTCTGCCTTGGTCTGAAATGAACATATTATAAGTGCAGTGCTTACAAATACTACATGTGACACTGATTGAATGAAAGATTATCCACAATTTCAATATAATGGGCGGCAAGGTCTAAGGTCTCCATAAATGCATATAGTTCACATCTATGATACTCTAGGTTTGAAGTTACATAAAGTCATATGAAGTGCGTGTAAGAGTTCTCAAGAGAGTGTGAAATAACATAGAACATGCGGTCATACTACAGGACATGAGATATCATTCACTTCAGCATTTTGTACAGACTCTTTTAGACATGTGTTTATTTAATTTATAAACTTCAAAACAAATTGAATGTAAAAAGGAAGATTTTTATTTGAAAATTTGAAAAAGCACCATCCACACTAGAGTGATTGACTTGAAATGATGTGGCTTAAGACTTTAGATCCTTATAGTTAAGATATCTCAGGTAAAATTTATTCTCCACTATGATACTCCTGGAGCTAGCTCCTAATTACAATTTTACTTCAAAAAACCTTTTGAAAGTATAATGGAGCTATGATACATATTTGACTGAACCATATATTGTTTAATTTCGTCCTCCCATCCTTTTACGCTATGTTACTTATTAAATAGTAAATTCAAATGTATTTAATCCAGGTTGTCTAGTAACATGTGGAACAATGGCTTACTATGTGGAAAACGGTGTAATTCAATACTTGTTTATTTTTACAAACTGGATTCGAACATGGTCTATATATATAATTGTATAGATAAGAGGCCTTTGGGAAGAAAATTCTCAGACGCAACACCTTCTCCCTTCAGGAATCGACGTACTGTGATCTCCACGAATTGTGGACTGAACCCATCGCTTCCTAAACCATGCGATTTCTTTTACTGTATGCTAATGAGCAGGGCTAATCTCCTGTAAGTCTCGGTAGTTCGCCATCTTTCATCGTCACATGTTCAATAGTTCTACATTTGCAATGTGTTTCTCCTTCATTTGACAGATGGGTTTTGCCTGGTTTGCGTAATCGCGTGCTGTAAGGGTTTTGTCTGATCTTCTCGATTAACTATTTCAGACCACATACATCCATATATACATGAGGAAAAAAGGGCTAAGAAGACGACTTGAAATGAAACAACTTGTACAAGATTTTCAATGGCAAGGCATTTTTGCACATAGATTGTAAAATCGCGTCAAACATTATGCAGGTGTTATGCTTGCTTTAAGTCTTATAATATGTGGTCTCACACTAAAACATATCCCCGTAACAATTGACAATCACTCCACATTTCTTTTTTAAAAGTCATTCCATAATCTACCGTATTACATGAATATTGCTAGATTTTCTCCAATATGATAGCATTATTCTATATAGAACATTATCTGGTGTAATTTCTAGAAAAGTAAGGACAAAAGAGTTTACTAACTCCTAATACATAAATTTTTTATATTGATTTCCGAATTACATATTATATTCCATTATGATAATATTGAAATCTAGCTCCGTGTTACACATTTGGTTATTTGTGTGCGATTTGACGGGTGTCAACTTCCTCTTGGCTATATTGCTCAGTCCAACCTAGTTAACTTGAGAGCTCCATTTAGGATCAGCGTGAAAGAGGAAGATGACTGTCTTTGCATCTGAACCTCTTCATGCTCTCCAGCACATCATTACCGCACATCCTGATGAACACAATGTTGATTCACCTCTCATCTCGCAACATTAGGTCCTCACCAACAATGAACTCGATGTGAAGTGTGCTTCTCTCTGTTTCTTTCTTTCTGTCTGCCCATTAAAGTGATCCCGTTTGTAACTTATATAATAATCATGAAAGGAAACAGTTTCAACCCCACAATCCTCGTGGTGTCAGACGTTACAGACCGACTTTTTATTTCCAAGCCTGCCTGATAGATATCAAAGATTGAGGTCATCCCCTAAACGTCCAGTAGCATTTCACAATATCCTATGCATATTCTCTATTTGATAAATCCCCTGTGAAACTGGGGATGTTTGTGGCATTCAGAATGGACCCCTAACGTTGAATGCAATAATATTTCTTATTATACTCCTATGGTCCACCATGAGAAAAGTATTCGTTAATAAGCCAAGGCGAGCTCGACAGTTTTAAATGAAAATATACACCAAGCACAGTGATTGACTTTCTAACCCGAAGTAAGAAAATAATTAGTACTTATAAATTGTAAATCCAGGAGTTGAAACAGAACGGGCTCCAAGTAAGGAAACTAGCCCTCACAGGACTATGGCTGCCGCGTAGGTTATGTTATTCGGAACATACTATTTATAATAAAGCAGATAATCAGACAATACCCTGAATGTTCTACTAACGAAGGCGAGCCGCCATCGGCGTCTTTTAGACATGGGCCAAGGCCAACACGTGGTACCCTGGCAATAATGCTCTGATTTACTGTCTCAGAGATAAAGCTAAATTTGAATTACTGGGACACGTGTAGGACAACGCTTACACCTCCAGCTTACAGGTCATAGGTTAAGCATATCTTGACACGTACTAGGTTGAACATTGTTGACTCATAGCTGGCATGCATGATCTCCACACCTCGACCACGTTGGAATATCTCATACTTATGCTGCAAGTGTCCAAAAGCTGTGTATTGTACTGGTAGATGAATATAATAAATACGTATGAGTTATATTTATCCCTCTGTCCCTTTGAACAGCTGTGAATGGTAAAGGGTAAGGTCAATGCCGCAACTGAAGCCGACAAACTTCGAGAAGAATGGCGGGAGCTGCAAGACACTGACGCGGTTAGTACCAGAAGTGATTTTACGAGGTTACAGTAGATGTCACTGTGACCGGCTCGCCGGACGATGTTCAGGGTAATGGTTTGGAACGAAGTTCATCCACGAAGATCAGTCAAAGTTGAGTTGGGGCTCGGGCGCAGGTTTTTAGCAGGTCAGTTGGAAAACACAAACCGCTGCAGTTACATTTTATGCAGCACACATAATTCTTATTAATGTGGAATAGGCATGTCGTGACTTCAATAAATTCATGATTTGCAAGTGATAAGAAATACAGATTCCAGAAATAACAATGAAAGGTTCACATCTCATTACATGTTTCTTGCAAGGCTTGGTTGGCCACGAGCGAAGCTGGAGAAATAAGTAGTAAAGTATAGTTAGTACTTTATAATGTTTAATCCCTTGGTATGAACATGAGAATACGTATGGCTGTATGATCTTTTATAGAGTAAATTTAAGTCAAAAAAGTAAATTTTTATTTTTTCCTTCTGTCTAAATTCAATGATATGTGTCCACTTATGTTCCAACTGTTTTGATATTTAGTTTTTTACCTGAATCTTTCTCAAAGAACTATAGTTACCTCTGATACATATCACACATATGTATTCAGTTTTTTTCCACATATTTGTATAATTTATAAATATATCTAATGCAAAATATTTCCAAAGAAACCAGATTTCATAAAAAATTGAACTTATTTGTAATTTTTTGTGTACGCATTTTTATATATATAATATGAAAACGATGGAAGTTTCGTTTTATATGAAAAAAATGCTATGTTCATTGGGCAGTTTTCTCTTATTTCCTCCTTTTGATATTTCATCGAGTAACACATGATAAGTAAAATTAGGTGTATCTGTATCTCACAATGCATAAAGATACACCAGGAATGCCCAGCATTCTGATTATATATTTTGAGATAGTTAAAAAATTATTACGAATAAAAAAATTGAATACAAAATTGATTATTCATAATATAACTTGAAAATTATTCTCAAGATCCAAAACTTTGAAAGTCATGCATGATTCATGTTTTAATAAGGGGTTCAATAAATTATCAAAACCAAAATTTCAAACCAGCCAAATATATGTAAAATTACAAAGATTTGTGACAAGTTTAGTAGTCGAATCAATATTTACCCCCGATCCTATAAAATTCTAGTTCTGAATCAGACTTCACGTTCGATAATGTTCAACCTATTGAGATCTCATAATCACTTTGATTCCTAAATGTTAATCCAAATCAGTTCACATGTTACTGTCATTAAACTCTCATCGTTTTAACCTAAATCACATCTAAAACTCAGCAAATAGATTTTCGAATGCATCATCATCTTGTAGGTATACATTGTCGTGTTATCGCATTAAATCTGTACCAGTATGATTGTGGGATTTTTTAAAAATTGATTTCATTCTAAATTTTGTGAATATTATGATTTCATTATCACGTTTCAACTTTTGTTTCATTCACTTGAAAAAAAAAACCTACTATTTCTTTAATATGTTCCAATTGACATATGCTCCAAATATTATGAATATGTTTAATTTTAATTTTTTTATAAAGTAAATCTAAAGCCAAATATTAATATTTAACATATATAAATGAAAATATGTGCTGTAAACTCTATCGTAATTTCAAAAATAGCATGTACATAGATTTCAAGTGACAGTCAACATGTTAAAGTGGCTAATGCTTATTTAGAAAATAAAAAATGATTGAAAATTTTTATTATAAAAAAATAAACATATAGCATATCAGGTTATCTTTTAGATTTACGCTTATTCATGAAAAATCTAAACATACTGAATACAATGATGGAATACATTTAAAATCTTTTAATCTTGCAAAATTGATATATTTTATCATAATATATATATATGATAAAATATAGTCCATTAATTGCTAAATTAAATATTTTTATTATACTAAAAATATTTTAAAAATTCAAAGAACATGATGATTAAATTCAAAATTTGCGTTATCGTACATCATGCTCTTATATGAAAAATTACGGATTATAGAGACAACAAACTAAGTCTTGTTGATATTTACTCTGAAATTTAAATTTTTTGAGCTGTTTTGACAAATATGAATAGAATAATTGCTATTTTTTCCTTCAATATTTATTATATAGATATTTGTAAAATTTATAGTTATTCATGATAATTGATATGTTTTATTTTTTTACAATATCAGGCCAACAAATTTTCAAATAGCAATTTGATGCATATATAATATTGAGTGAAAATTTATCACCAAATATTTTAAACTCAAATGCTTATTCCAAAATTTATAATATATCTAAGAAAAATTTCAAGCTTGAAGGGGTTCACAGTTTCAATAGGATTATGTTGAAATTTGAAACATTGAACTCTTCAAATTATTGATAAATAAAATAGAAATCCCTGTCTCTATTCCAAATACTATTTCTTGACATCTTCTTTATTATATTTTTTTTCATGCATTGACATCTGTATAATTTTTATCATCCTCTTTGGTTTTAATAATTCACCTATACTCATTTGAAGTGTACTTCAAACTTATGGATGAAACATAACTATTAAAAATTCTTATATGACTATGTAAAGAAAAGATATAAATATTTTTCTTAAACAAATGACAGATCTAGCACATATATAATTGCAAGTTTGTAATATAACAAAATATAAGTATTAATATATATACAAAGATTAACTAGAGTGTTATATATATCATTTTGACATGTGTAGTGATGTATGTACGACGAGTGTTCATAAAGTAATTATGTTAAATTTATACTTAAGTTCACTTCTGTTTAGTTAACTTGGTTGACTCACATGCACTGTGGTATTCAGGCACTCACATAATATTCCCTTAGATGTGGCAGGTCTATACAGTATTACATATTGCCTATATGGAGATTAGAGGATATATGCTTATCATCTAATTATTGCTATTACAAAAAAGGACTTACATGTCATCCGGAGTAAATATTGATATGCTGGGATTTAATTCATATTGAAGTAGACATATGGCAGGTTAGAACCATCTAATTCCTGTTCCTAATATTCATCAAGCTGCTATAAGTGACATACTCTTGGATGATAGCTTGTGGAATAATATCAACCGATGCCTCTAAGTGGAGGATTATGCAAATATGTCAAACTTTTGTTCCTATAATATTCGAGTCATGTGGCAACCTGGGCATATTTATGAGACAATTTGTCAAAGCTAACCATACTGTAACATATTGTACTCATATGAATACATTGATATGAAGGGAAAATTGAGTGTTGTAATCCATACATTTTGATTGCAACATAAAAAAGATTCATATCAGGTGATGAATCTGGTCATTTTAATGTAAAATGTGCACTACTTCATAAACATAGTGTATAATAAGAAATATTTTCCGATTCTGATGTTATTGTATAGTGTCTTCCTAACACTTTATCATTTCATGCCTTTTAGGCTATATTTTTGGCTTTCCATTTCCTCTCCGATGACAAGAATGTGTCTTTGAGGTATTGACATACTTGCACAGAAGAGAAGATAATATTAATACTAGTGATGTAGTACAATTCGATTCTAGAAGATTTGTTGCAAATGCCCGAGGTCACAACCATTGCAAGAGCAGCAACATGTCTGATTTCAATTTGGCCAGCTTACATTCAGTATCTTCCTTTCCATTACAGTTTCCAACTCTCGTCCATTGACGCTACTTGGGATGTACACGAGAGAATAGCCTTGAATGTGAGTTTTGTCGCATCACAGTGAATGTTATTTCACTGATACTTCACATACATCTTGCCCGTGCTTGCACCTCTCCAGGTGCTGTGTGATTAGCGCTCAGTCTAGGCATGACCCATAGAATCCTTTCATAGAACAATTCCGGGAATTTGTCCGATTTTTTGGAGGCTTTGTGCAGAAGAACTGGTTTTGATCGACAGAAATATCCTTTGTTTCGTGGGATACGACCTGCAATTAGGAAACAATACGGACGAGTTCGGTGCCAGAGTGACGGTCTCTGAAAAAAGGCAATTTCGGAATTGTCTTCCGAAAATTGATTTGGTCTGTTTTCCATCCCTTTCGTTATTGTTTATCTGTTGCCATTCAACTGGGTGTTACTTCTGTCTGGATAATTGACAGTAATGGGAAGTGGTGTTATGGAATCTCCGGCGTATAGTAGATGAAAATTCAATATGGGTCGGGTGAGTTTGCTATTTGCATCTGATTTCTGTTCGAAGAAATTTTGTAGGAAGAAGTCGGAGACCAATTAAGCAAACTCTAATACATTTGAACTTTATCAAATAAATAGCTCATTTCGAATCGATGATGACTGTCAAAGTTTAATGTAATTTGTCATTGCTCTGTATACTGTCAGTTATCCAGACAGTAGTGGGAAGTGGTGTTATTGAATCTCCGGCGTATAGTAGATGAAAATTCAATATGGGTCGGGTGAGTTTGCTATTTGCATCTGACTCTGTTCGAAGACATTGTGTAGGAAGAAGTCGGAGACCAACAAAGCAAACCCTAATACATTTGAACTTTATCAAATAAATAGCTCATTTCGAAACGATGATGACTGTCAAAGTTTAATGTAATTTGTCATTGCTCTGTATACTACTAGGATCGAGAAGAATCAGCTCTATGAAGTTGTGATCTGAAAATTCTTGCTGTGCGTCTGAACATTGACAGGAGCTTTAAACTGGTGTGTCTCATATGAATTTGCTGGAATTTCTAGCTAAACCAAAATGCGTATCATTCCCTTTGCGCAGGACAGTGGAAGAGTGTAGTTCAAGGTTTCTGACATTTTGAACGCGGAGATCTAGCTCGTCCCTAAGAGGATTCAATTGTCCAGAGCCTCGTGTCATGGGAGAAAAAGAGGTGTATGTTCATAAGTCGTGATCAAGGTCGGGCTTTGCAGCTGCGTGAACTTTTTATATGACGACCTCAGCTGAAACAGATGCAGCTGCGACGGTACTAGAAGACTTACTGATCGGTGAGTAGAATCTTCCTTTGCCTTACTGAGTTGCTTGATTTTTGTTTGTAAGTAATTTTTAAAGCTCATTTTCTGATTTTCTCCCTCGGCCAAGACAACAGGATAGCTGCACTTTCTGTCATGTGGATCTAAGTCTTTGAAAACCTCTTGTTTTCTTAAAGGGTTGATTGGACCACCGAATTCCTCTGTTCTTGGATTTCTGTAATAATCGCTTGATTGATCAAGCTGTTTAGATTGATCTTCAGATTCAGATGAAGCAGATATAATGTAAGCCCTTAACACAACTTGCGTATACTTTTTCTTATAAGCAGAGATCACTTTTATAAACTTGATGCACCTATCACCTATTCCATTTATGGAGATGGAATCAAAAAACATAAAATTGAACTTGAATTTCAAATTCAAGCTTAGTTATAAAAGATCGCCATACAGATCAGCGATCTCTTTTACACCAAACACTGGCCATTAAGATTTTGTTTAAAACTTCTAATTAGTGAAAGATTTTAGCTTCACGATCATGAATGTGATAAGAGCTTGTAAGATCGAAGTTATGAATTCAAATAAAAAGAGAGCTATTTTTACTATAATGGATGTTTCTGTTCGGTTTGATTTCTATTAATCTCTATATCCGCATCATTCAAGGTTTTCAAGGGTCGGTTCTTCAGCCGAGGTATGTCTATATGAAGAAGATCTGAGATTAGGTGTGTCATGCATTCTGTAAGTGAATATATACAATCTGAACCTTGAAGGCCACTTGAGACACGGAAATTGTTACTCTTTTTTATGCCCGTGGCTCTTTAGAGTGCACCGGACGTGTCTAGCCCCTTGTGTTGAACCTCAGTGACAACTTCTCATGAGAATGGAGTAATTAATTTAGTGTACCACCTCTTAAGAGTAAAATTCTTCAATGCAAGCTATTCTATGAAGTGATTGTAGTTTATCATTATAGCAATCCTGAGTACAATTTCGTATACACTGAAGAACTGGTTCACATTTTTTGTCATCATCACATGCTAAACTGTAATTGAGATTATATACCTATCATAGACCCCTGAAAAGATGAGCATGAATCACAAAAATGAGAGAAGAGATCCGGTAATGTTGTCACAATTGCAGTCTCAGTCTAAGTGATAAGACGTATAATGGTCACTGAATTTTAGCCTGAAGTTGGTTATCCTTCTTTTAAACTATTCAAACGTTGGATGATTCTATCCGTCCCAGAGGTTTCACTTAGACAGTGTTCTTGGCTTATATTTTTTAGTGGTTTTGCAGATGACACTGAAGAGGCATTGAAAGCCGTAGGTTCAACCGATTACTACGACGAAACTCTAGACGACGAAGATGAGGAATGGGCCATCAAACAACGACAAGGGCGAAGGTCAGACGGGATTCTCAGTTGTCCCGCGTGCTTCACAACACTTTGTATGGATTGCCAAAGGTACGTCCGCAGTCATTTAAGTACCGGGTCAGGGTGTTGATAGTTTTGTAAATTTGCGTCGATCTAGTCTTTGTGATAACAGAGCTTGAGGATCTGGAAATTTTGCAAAGCATGAAGAAATCAGAGGTTGCCACAGAGGAAGTGATCAGCTGACAAATCTGACTACAAGTTCAATAGAAACTTATCATTCTGGGTTAAGTAATATTTGAATCTCTGTTGTCAAATATGGGCGGGGTCTGGAAAATTGTTTGAGAGGGCCACCTCATGTGAAGCTGTCCTTATGTACTGAGTTGTTTGTACAGGCACGAGAAGTATGTGCATCAATACAGGGCAATGTTTGTCCAAAACTGTAGAATTGTGGAGAATGAAAGACTAAGGCTCCCGGCACATCGAGCAGCTAAGAAGACTCGAAAATCCAAGAAAAAATCTTCCGCTAATGAAACTACTCCTCCGAATGTGCCCGAGGTACACCTGAATGCATCTGAGGATGAGGTATATAAACCTGTACGATGCTCAGTCTGCGACACGGAGGTCGCATTGATGGATAATGACGAAGTTTATCATTTTCACAACGTTGTACCAAGTTATTCTTAGATACGATCGTCATCCTCTGTATTGCACAAAAGCGATTCTAATGAAATGAGGTGATGAAAAGTAAATGCCTCATAGACACTCGGATCTAACGCGGTTCAAAGGAATGACTGTGACTTCGGTCTTGACTCGATCTTGACAACCATCTAGGAAAACTTCAGTCTGACAGTCGCATCTTCACATGTCATCTCGCTGTCGTACTTATCCACCTAAGTGTCGTCATCATCCATTAGACGAAAGACGGGATAAAGGGGTTGACTATGTGCAGTGAAAAACATCCGAAGTTTGTGAGATACGTAGTTTCCGACCTAGACACACGAAGAAATATATGTTTCCCAGTTCGTCAGCTTGTAAATACCGTTTTGCATCTAACGTTTTGGAGGTTTTAGTACACGATGAGGACGAAATTCGTAGATCATTTGCCCCTCAAATGGGGGTGACGGAGTAAAATGCCATCGTGGTTGTTGCTGCATTACTGCCCATATTTATTGCTTCCCAACACTAAGTGGTCAGGAAGAGGGTTCGTGTCGTGTGTGTCTTCGTCGTGAATTGGTCATCTCATCTCGTTGCACAAATCTTTCCGACACAATACTGATGTTGTTACCCGATGGACATAACTCAGAGGAACTATCGCAACAGGATATGGAACTAGGACTCTTGATTGTTCTAAACCATGTCAGTGTACGAGCAATTTCCAAAATCTGTGTAAATCAGAAGGTCCAAAAATCGTGGTTGCATACGAATCCAGAACGTATCAGAAGACCTAAAAATCTTCACGTTACTTATGAAGAACCTCATCACTGCAATGGATGCATGTGTAGTTTATTGACAGAAAGGTCCACTGAGATCACCAGCTCGTAATCATCTAGCCAATTATGAGATCTCTCATGAGAACCGTGAGGTTAGATGTAATATGCTCCGTTATTAATATAACATCCGATCTCTGGGATACTGAAGTACACAATGTTCTTTATGATACTCTCGGAGCCTAGCAGAATGGGGAGGTGTGTCTTTTTTCTCTCTCCACTTGGCCCCCTTTGCAATAACAGCAGTGAACCGTCAATTACTATGCTATTTCTAAAAACTGAATAAATTGTGGATCCAGCATCTTTTGAAAGCCAGTCAATTAAAAATATTACCAAAGCAAAATAATGAAAGTATCAAAATGTGTGCCCGAGTGGATTCACTCACTGCTCGAGAAATCTGGATGTGGCTGTGGCTGGTAAGTAATGGGAAGACGAGGAAGCGTGGAGCTTGAAGCTTTCGGTTTCGCTTCATAGAAGGTTTCACGCTGTGGCCAGTAAAGAGCCACAGGACTCATAGACTTTGATTGGCGCAGAAGCACCCACAAGTGCAGGCCTGCATTCTCTTCTAACTTATTATTGCACGTGACGACGATGCAAGTCCCATGGTCCCATGATCACAACGGCGGGCGGGCTGGCGAGGCACTTCACTGTCCGTCGGTGATGTGTTTCCTGCCCAGCCCTCGCACCAAAATCAACCCCTCGGTTCGCGCTGAGCCTGCTCCCATCAATCCCGCTAGATTTGACTTGCACAACTAAGGATTCAGTTCACTCCCCATTCTGCAATACGGTGGGAAGTTGATTCGACTTCGGAAGGGATTGCGTGAATTTTGGATTCGTGCCCTTGCATTAGGAGGAGACGGATTCATCACCATCGGAAGGGAAGCGATTGCGGGTCTTGTGTGCTAGGTAAGGCGATGGCGGGAAATGGGGTTGAGAAGACGAGTTTGGAAGTTACGGCTATGAATTTTGCGTATCCGGGGAAGCCGCCGTTTATCAGCAACTTTAACCTGTCACTGCAGCCAGGATCTCGATGTCTGCTCATCGGTGCCAATGGGGCAGGTATTTTCCCTCCACGCGATGTCTCTCATGTCAGGGATTTTTTTTGGCAGGTTGCTCTGATCTTGCCGCGGAGGTAGCACTGATTCAATTCAGCGTGAACCAATTAGCTCTCTTTCGTAAATGTCGGTCTATATGACTGCGAGTAATTCGTGTCTGGGGTGCTCCCAAGTTCTCGCTTGTGTGATATCTGCCCATTCCCGAAAGGAAACGTGCACAGTCTTCGATCGAAGACATTTTTGAACTCATTATCTGGTGCGAAGAATGCTAGAGTTGAGAAAATTTGCGTTCAGCATCGAGATAACTTGTGTGTGTTCCTGGAGAGTAAAATGTGGGGTTATGGTGTTGAACGACAGGAAAGACAACTCTCTTGAGGATTTTAGCTGGGAAGCACATGGTTGGAGGCAGGGACGTCGTTCGGGTATTGGGCCGCTCTGCATTTCATGATACTAGTCTGGTATGCGGCGGTGAGCTCGCGTACCTGGGTGGATCATGGAGCCGAACAGTGGGATGCGCGGTAAGCTTCTGCAAATTAGATACTTCTGTACTTCCGAGCTGAAGATGGTCCAAGTGCCTAAATTTTTGTTTCCTGACTCCTTATTTCGGGATGTGGTTTCGTTTTCTTTCAGGGCGAGATTCCTCTACAAGGAGACTTTTCCGCGGAGTTCATGATTTTTGGTGGTAGGTTGCCGATCCTACGTTCACATTGAACCACCGTGTTGAATGCAATGGTCGAATTCTTGTGGCAACAGGGTCCCCCTGGGTCGAGGCCAATACAGTTCTGGGAGAGAATTTCTTGCCTCTTTCGTTGCAGTTTATACATGTGGTCAAGTTCAACGTTTTGGTCATGAAATCATGAGGTGTAGTCATTGCGCATTTGAAGATTCTGAGTTGCTGTCAAATTCTGAAACTAGGAGCTCGAGCATTCTCCTTCTAGTTCTGTCTTGTTTCCCGAAGAAGACGAGACTAGATTTGAAGAACTCATTGTCCACAACACGAGCAATGTCTGGTATCCTGTTTTCGGACCAGTGTGTCTCCTCCCCCATCTCTTCTTCCTGGAACTTCGGGGGTCAACTTACATCGAGGAGATTTTCTACTTCTGTAGTTCATGCTTCTTGGCCACAGGCCTGGAGTGCAATCTACCTCTGGCCGGGCACACATTGAATTTGGTTCCTCCAGGTCTTGCTATGCCATGGTTCACGGTGTCGAATCTGAATCTGTGGTTTGTTCTATCTTTCCTCCATCACTCAGTTGAAGGTGCCAATCCCGAAAGGAGACAGAAGTTGATCGAACTACTTGACATTGACCTCCGCTGGAGAATGCACAAAGTGTCTGATGGCCAACGTCGTAGGGTGCAGATATGCATGGGTCTCCTGCAACCATTTGAGGTGATTATTTTTAGCTCTCCTCTTCGGATGGGGAGGAAAGCTCCTCCCCCTCCGAAGCAAGCTTACACAAATTACCTTCGCTGTGAGACTTTAGGTGTATCAGTACTGCAGTGAGATGACATGGTAGTTGTCGAGGAATCACAAAACGGAATGCGCTCAATACAAATGTCTACTGTGGTCATTGATGGTTTTCGTCCTGGACATCCGTTGACGTTGTGGAGCTGTTATCATGTTCTTCTTACCACGTCTGTTCTAATATATCTCTTTTACGTGCTTGATTTGCTGCTGCCTCTTTTCTGCAGCTCATTGATTGCTCCTGTCATAAATGTTCGACCTACTCTCGCATTAGAAATCCGTTTACTTCTTCAGATTGAATGCTATGCCGTTTATATTTTGCCTTGATCGGTTACTGTGTTTCGGAGCTCTTCCTTAGTGCCTTATAATACCAATGTGTCGGGCCATGCCTTAGATGGAGTTCCTATGCTTGTACCTCCCGGATCTGTGCTGCACTCCCTCCTTGCGTATATCCCCCGCATCCATCGCCTTGTGGTGCCTGATAAGTGCCGGTGGTTTCCGGTTAAGTGCCGCGTGAAGAGCTTATAGCCCACTGGTTCGGTCGCTGCTCTCCATGTCCTCGCGATTGAGCACGTGTGATTTGAACTCTTCTGAGGCTCTTGCTCTTTGGGAGTTCTAATCATGAACAGAGAATCATTTAAGGGTCTACGTGGGTCCTTTCGAGCTGCATTTGAACTCCAGACACAAAAATCAAATGTGTATCTTTTTTGGCATTGCAGGTTCTGCTACTGGACGAAATAACGGTGGACTTGGATGTGGTCGCCCGCTTGGATCTTCTGGAATTTTTTAAGGAAGAATGCGAGCAGGTAACTGTACTAGGTTTGCAGTCATCCTAATTTTTCTTTAAAAAACGAACTAGAGCTGATAAAATGCACTTTGTAAGTTTGGTTTGGTGCTTGATGTCTCTGACCAGAAATACACACTCTCGTCTATTCGTCCCCACAGAGAGGAGCTTGCATTGTGTATGCCACCCACATCTTCGACGGATTAGAAACCTGGGCCTCACACATAGCTTACGTAGAGGATGGCACGCTAAAACGCGCACAACTGATGTCAGAAGTGCCAGAGCTGACGGTTGCGAAAACTCTTATCAAAGTAGTTGAGCCATGGCTTCGAAGGGAAAGAGAAGAACGAGAGAAGGCAGCGGCAGTCAAGGCTCTTGCACCCCCAGCGCCCAGAGTACAACAGTCGGCTTCCTCCCTGTGGGGATCAAGTCGTCATATGGCGTACTACCGCTGAACATGTGAGAATTTCCGGTGACGAAATCAGGACTTCAGGTTTGTGCCCACACGTCATGGTGTTAGTTAGTCCACATTTTTTATTGTTATGGGGAACCTCGCCTTCGTCAGAGCTAGTGTTTCTTCATCAAGCCATTCATATGTTGATTCTTTGATCCAGTAGTTGGACATCTAGGTTTTAGGATCTGATTTGTACATTAGTTTCGCATTAACACCCATTTTGGGGCCGGAGACGAGTCTTGGATAAAAGAGCTTATGAGCTGGTCAAGTTTAGACTCTTTGCTCGTTTGATGTAGACCATACCCAATTTTTCACAATGATTCGAAGAATAAAGTTTCTACAGCCTGTCAAGAGAAGGTCGGTTGTTTCATTTGTTTGTCTCTAGAGAGGATTGAAAAAGGGCTGTACTGCGCCACTTTCTGGATCAGCGCTTTAGATATGAACAGCATGCCCTGTAGACTAGACAGTATTTCATGTCAAGTGCAGCTTTGCCCTTGACAAATGAAGCTGTCATTTGTTTTGTAAATAACCTTGAAAGTTTTGGAAGGGCTGTACTGCGCTACTTTCTGGATCAGCTCTTTAGATATGAACAGCATGCGCTTTAGACTAGACAGTACTTCATGTGAAGTGCAGCTTTGCCCTTGATAAATGAAGCTGTCACTTTTTTTGTAAATAACCTTGAAAGGTTTGTAGGAGATGTTATGTACAGTTTGCTATGCACATAGTAAACTGTATATATATTGTTGGGAAGTTCAAAGTCGGTTGGTAGGTGGGAATAACAAAAGACGTTCACTTCAAAGTGGACGAAACCTCACTTCCGGAAGAAAGTGGAAAGGGCACTAATTGCATGGTACCTGGAAACCATCTGCAAACCTGGAATATGTTATTGTAGCAATATTATCACAAACAGAGATTGTCCGAACGATTCCCAAGTGACGGCAATCGACTCCTGGTTTGTATGTAGCCAGTAACAGCACTGCTTCCAGGCGAAACGTTCTTAGGATCCTCGTAAGTGTACGAATCTGTAACGCGAGTGTATGAACTGTTACAAGCAGAAGGCTACACCGAAAAAGGCCCAGCGAGGATTTTGAAGGATACAGATGATATACACATGAGCCCTCCATTTTATTACTGTGGTGTACGGCAGCCGCAGTGTATGATTACAGGAGGGAGGCGTATCGCTTGAAATGATCGAGTTCACCTGTAGAGATGATACACAGGTTTCACATGTCTTTGCCGATGCACTCCATCCTCGTAGAAAGCATGACAGGATTGACAGACCACACGTATGAAGTTATTTCGAAAAGACTTGCAAATAAAGCTCGATCATCAAAACTTCGTACTGACGCCCATATCCAGAAGTATCGTGTTCTTGAATCCTTCCTCAAAAGATCACTATCGCAGCAGAGGGGCTGTGGAGAAGAATAATGAAGAGGGACCTTTAAAACTGAAAGAACCTTCAATACATTGAACGTGTACTGGTCGATGGAAAATGCACAAATCAAAGAAGAACGTTAGAGGAACAGGTGCGCAGCAGACGGACGAGGACAGAGTGAGGCTTGATTAAAAAGCTGACGGAAAGTAGATACATTAGACACCTCTGATATACTAGCGAAGGATATAATGGAAGATTTCGAGAATTTTGGGTACGAAGAGAGAGACAAAGTCATGATATTTCTGCACGACTGCAATGAGTCTCTTCACCAGACACACTTCAAAGCATGCACCGAAAACCTCAAAGGACAGATGTGCACCGTCCTTTTCGGTATTAATGTGAAACTCTAATCTCAATCCGGGGACTCTTCAGAACTTCCCCACTAACCCAATCCGTATCGTTTCAGTGGACCATCCTCCCTCCACACCTCCACACCTCCACACTGGGGGCTGGTGCACAAGGGGCTCTGGCAAAGGGCACACCAAACTGCAACAGCTCGTGCTGAGCTCCAGAAGACAAGCTAGCACTCTCACCGTGCTTATCTGAAGCTCATTCATGACTGACCGTAAGCGGTGACAGGATAATTCCAATTATTACCAAAAGAATCGCAGTGCACTGTTTGAGACTGATTTCCAGCCTCGAAGGGGTGCTGTGCTGCTGCTGCTTGAGGAAATTTTTGAGATTCGTCCTCACGGAAAACACGAGACATGGGAGTCTACATTCCCATTCACTGTGGAGAAGAGCGGGGTTTATGACTGCATTAAATTAGAGCACTTAGCTCCACGCGTGCCATGCTGTGGGAGCTGGTGCTACTCCTACAATTGAGGTGGCGGTGGAGCAATTCATGGTGCTTCGTTTCCAATAGACAAGCACCTGCAGTGGTTTCTAACACATTGTAAGCCAGACGAAAAGCTGCTCTCGTTCCCTCATCATGCTGCTGCTGCTGGCCCCGCTCTGCAGAGGTGACTCCAAGTAACAATTAAATGAGTCCTGTTACGGCAAGAAACGACATCACTAATTCTGTACTCCTCCCCCGCTGGCAACTGAGGACCATATTTCATTCCCATAGCCAACTTTCTGTCGTCCCTGCAGTCTTAAAGAGCCATTCGTTTCATTCATTCACTCTCTCAGATGCCTTCCATGTGATGTGACGGTAGGATACGAGAGTACATCAAAATGAATGGCGTACAGAATGAGGCTTCTGATAGCCGAGTACGTCGTGTATTCCAGTCTAGGCACGGGTGAGCTTGGCACCAGATCAATACCTGCTGCTGATCCTACTCCTACTCTTCCCACTACGAGGTCAGGCCTCGCTGCCTGACCTCGTTTCTGGCTGCATGTGTGAGAAGCTCACGAGTCACAGAGCCCAGATGCCAACAACTACTGGCACGTACAGTACGTCGCTCATAATCATGCCTGTCTGTGTACATCAGGTGAAAGGAGAAGGTGCAAGGGGAGGGGAGGGGATGGGATGTGCAGTGCAGTGCAGTCCAGTCCAGGGAAGGGAAGAGAAGGGAAGGTATGTCTTGTGAATCGTACTTGTTGGAGATCTGGCTGGTTTCATTCCCCCTTCCTTCTGTGTGATGGATGGATGGACGGAAGGTAGGAAGGCCAGCCAGCGATGGCTTGCGAGTCTCGTGACGAAACAGCTAACACAAGGTCAACAGGCTGAGGCTCAGCCTCGGCCTCAGCTTCATCTTCACCTTCCCGTTCCCTTCCCGTTCCCCTTCTTGGGCAGAACAAAGCTCCGGCTCTGCACATTTTGTTCAGGCCAGACATGTCATTTGTATTCATTCCGCCATCAAGGCAGCGAGTGCTTGGAGAGCTATACCATATCTCTCCAGTCTCGTGCCGATTGTGTTCATCTCCGGTATCTACATACCACTCGGTGTCCATGCTGAAATTTTCGGCCTTGGGCCCTGCCTTTCATGAATTGTCGGTCCGTTGCCAGGCCCATTTTTCCCCCTGAGGACTGGTATTAAAAGGCTGATAAGAATAACACCTTCGTGGTACTTCAGGCATGGCATGGCATGGCATTGCATGCACTGCTGCTGGTGTTGCAGTGCAATCCGTTGGAGTCGTCTTCGAGTGGTGTAAGGTGTCGTATTTATTAGCTGGGTCGTAGACGAATAATTCCTTGTTACGTACCCACCGCATTAAGCCGAACCACTCTGATGCTTGCTGGTACGGTTTCTTCGACTGAAATCATCATCATCATCAGTTTGGCAAGCGAGCAAGCAAGTGTCGAGATGAGGATGCAATTTTGTATGCTCCTGAAATGTGCTTGCAATGTGCTTGTTGGACGGGTTAGAAATTGAAGGTCGGTGCAGCCTTTCTGGACCTCCAAAAGATGTGACAAGTCTGAGGAAGAGCTCGCTTGAATGTTGGAGTTGATCGAGCTCCCAAGGAAATTAGTTGACGAGCTTGAGGCTCAGAGGGAGGGAGGCACTCTCTGCTCTCTGAGTAGAGAAAGATGAGAGAGCTGGAGATTTTATGTTATTCACACGATGATTAGCTAGTAACATGCTGCATGCATGGTGCTGTAGATGCGCCTTCTCGCTCCATGGACTGGACTTTTCTCGAAATGAATCTCCCCTTTCACTACCTTTTGCCAGCTGCCATGTGCTGCCAATCTTTATATAATCTCCTCGCCATGAACTCGGGTAGCTTCGAGCTGATTCGTCTTTTGGAGAGTTTTTCTCGTACAAGCAGAAATCATTATGACGTAGGTCGATCGATACTCATGCAACTTTGTGCCCCGAGGCTTCAGATTGTCGGTTGTGTTGCAAGAAGAGGATTGGCTTCAGGGTGAAGGGATCTTTTGGAGCCCACATGACGCAATTTCTCAGAGAGAGAGAGAGAAGGGTAGGAAGGGGCAGGAGCACATGCTGGAGATCTCAAAGCTTGAAGTTGTACTTTCCTGTTGCTCACTTGGCCTTCCCAAAATACCATGCAATCAATCGCTCCCAACATAAAAACAACGCAAAAGAAAATATACATATTTTATCGAGAGAAGCAATTCCTGCCGAAGACGAGGTGCCAGGAGCAGTGAACAAGTGGTAGAATCGTGAATTATCGAGGATAGTTTATACCATTATAGAATTTTAAAAAGGGGGAATTGGTAAAGCAGAGTCATAAAGCTGGCTTTGGAGATGCACTCAAATGCAATCTCAAAAGAGCCTCCTAGCCTAAGAGTACAAACTCCAAAGCAGTAGGACGCCAAACAAGGGAAGCTACGGAACAAAATCACAAAATGTGGGTGCATGGGCATGCCCCTCCACCCACTGATCCATTGATAGGAAGCTAAGCCTTGAAGTTCGTTAGATTGCTGTACCCGAGATCCCTCGTAGCGATGCAGTGCAATGCAATGTGGCAGCCTCCGAACGAGAGCCGCGAAAGCAGTTGAGCAAAGGGAAGGAGCAAAAGCGATTGACTCGGAAAGCTTTGGACATTGCAGCTACAAACGCTTCAGCTCGATGTCATGCAGTGGAATGGGACGAGGAAACCTACAAATGCCCAGATCTGAGATGCGAAAGCAGTTGGACCTAAACCTATGGCCAGCCTGCCTGCCTGCCTGCCACCAACATCGACCCCTCTAAAAAAACACGCCTCGCTACCATTCCTGCTTCTGCTGCTGCTCCATAGGCTGGCCTGCAAGATGCTCTCCATGCAAACCAGAGCAAGGAAATCCAATCCAATGGAGTGCAATGCAATGCAACGCAATTCTATGGAATGCATGCGAGTCCAAATGCGTCACAATCCTTGGATAACAAAGTGGATCTGTACAGAACAGAACTGCTGTAGTGGAATACAGTACAAACTGGAGGACTACTCCGTATGGTCGGCACCTCCCCTCGGATTCCTCACGTCGGGACGAGCTCAACAAAAGCAAGCAAGCAAGCGGAGCTGGGAATTCCCTTCCTGTCGTCTCTCTGTCAGCTTCAGTTGTCGCGTTGCCTTTTAAGAAGCGACAGCTGCTCCGTGTATCACTCTGCCACCATTCTCTGACTCTGACACCTCCCCCCTCGAACTCTCGAACTCCCTTCCCAGTTTAGATCATAGTGGACGTATCTACGGGGGACTGAAGGGCGAGTAGTAGGCAGTTGGGTGTGGTGCTGGTGTACGAGGTGTACGAGGTGGGCGGGAATATAGAACCGGCACCCGCAAAATCATGGCCCTCCTCACCACGCAGGCAGGCACATCAGATAGCTGTGGATCTTGTCCATACTGTAGCTATCTCTCTCGCAACCGAACCACCATCTCCAAGGGCCCCAACGTGGACGTGACCACAGAGCGCACCATGGAAAATCTGGCCACCCTGTGCAGAAGGAGAACTGCTACTGCTACTGCACTACAGGAGGAGCAGGAGAATCTATCTCCGGATGATAATAGTAACTGCGGCAGCAGCTGCCCTCAGCTGCCCTCAGCGAGATAAGATTCATGCAGTGGCAGATCGTCGAACCCGTCCAAATCTGATGACTTGTTGCCGTGTGCAGGAAGAGTGCATCCTCGCTCGTTCGCTTGCTTGCTATGTTTGGGGAGGCATTTCTCTTGTTTTGTTTCGTTTCTGGGGGCTGTGAGTCAAAGGGAACGCATGCCCCTGAGAGTGGATGATGCATTGTTTCAGCTCCAGGGTGTTGTTACAGTGAGGTGTGTCAGATCGCTCACCATCCCTCCCTCCCTCTGGCCCAGAGAGAGAAAGAGAAAGAAAGAGAAAGAGAAAGGCATTGATTTGGAGTCTGGGTTCATGCAAATTTGTTGTGCCGAGGTAGAGAGTGGAGGTGCACGCGTGTACGATGAGGCCGGCCGGATTCGTTCATTCATTCATTCATGATTCATGGCCCTGTTGTAGAAGGAAGTCAATGTACGCAGCTTACAATAAAAAAGTGGGGATTTGGCAACTTCAGGATGATTACTCCTGCACTGGCACCAGTCCCTGGAGCCAGGACTCGGTTTCTTTTCTGCATGAGGACGGACGGACGGACGGCCTCTTTTCGTCCATGTCCAAACGTGCTTTTGCTTTTCTAACCCATAGCCCTCAGTTTAACTCTTTGCTCGAGATTTCTCTCGAATCATTTATTCTTTCTGCCCTCGTTGGAAATATCTTTTGAAAACTATAAAATCCATAACATCCTCTTCTGTTCAATGTTAACGACCGTCAAGCGAGATACTTCCAGCTCCAATCTCCTCTCGTCCTTTTATGGGAATGAAATGAACTACTTCAAATCTCAAATTGATCTACTTCCAGCAGGTTATACCGGATCAGCCAATTGAGAAACACAATGCACTTGATTCAAATGTAATGGCCTGCACTTCAAGGTAAATTTTGAGGCAGTGAATAGACCTCTTCTTGCAAGTGCATAGCCCATCATTATTGATCCCTAGAACAGTCCCACCATTGTAAAGATTACCCACCACAATCCACATTTCCACTATAGCGTTGCATCCTATTGGCATTGATCCAGGTTTGTCAATCGAGCGTGTTTAAGCCTACAGTGTATTGTCATGCTGCCATTTTAAAATTTAAAGTAAAGCTACACATGCCTGCCACCCACCACTCAAGAGGTTGTTTCTGCCATCGTTGGGGTAGGACAAGGGTTTAGGCTCCATTTTCTGAACTAAACTTTACATGTCAACGTAGGACCCGGTCAAGACCCAGTTCCAACCGACATCATTAAATGCTGTTCAAATTTGCTAGAGATTATTAAAGTGATAGGATTTGAAAACATTTTCACTTCAATGGCCTTGGGGATGCATGCAGCATCTCCAAGCTTGATAACCGTCGATTGGAAAAAATACTGACGGTAATGCATTTGCTTTGTAGCATAACAACTTATGAGAAACTCTCTGTTTCAAAAGACCTATTTCATGCTTGTTTTGAAGCTTCATTTTCTAATCGAACTCATCACTTTCATGCAAGCTACGTTCGAAGTGCAATCGGAGAGATAGATAGCAAGTTATTGAACCAGGCATGAGGTCTCCAAGGGGAACGAGTTTCTAGTGGCCGTTCTCGCGGGGTAGATGTTTTACATCCTCCATTTCCTCTTCTTACATACTGATCGTAAAAGTGGCTCTTCAGAGCCCTATTCGACACATTAAAAGTCGTTAGTTATCATAATGGAGTCCAAACAATTGCCACAAGGCCTTTAATGGCACCGATGTCTTGAAAAGAAGGAAAGCCTTTTCATGAAGTTTGCCGGTTCGGCCATGGGGTGGGGGCATTGGGGTGCTCAGCAGAGCCAATGAGCTCGTCGCCTGGGGAGACCAGATACCGAGGTAACGGTTCACAACGTAAGAAGAAAACAAAGCTCATCATGAAGATGATGAGAAAAGCCTGAGACCAAGTGACGGAAAGCAAGAGCGAGCGAGCGAGCGAACCAAAAGTCGCTTTGACGCACTGCTCCAACACTTTCATGATAATGGGCAGTTTTATCTGCATGGCTGAATCACAGCATCACTGGAGGGTTGGATAAATGTTTGTTTTCACTTCACTGTTCTTCTGCCTCCGCCTTGTGTGGGAGAGCGAGTGATTGTCGGGCTCGCTTGGATTCATACGGCCCTTGTGGAAATTGTGGAAATTGTGCATCCAGTTCACAGCAAATGGCATTCGTAGGGGGTGAAGCGCGAGAGGCACCATTCCAGCTCACACGTCGATGGAAATAGTGCATACTATGCTCATGAAGCTCGATCCGCAAGCCCAGCCCTCCGGAAACGGTGCCAGAAACAGCCGAAGATACCAACTTTCATGGGAGGCCAGGCCAGCTCCAGTAACTCGGAAAAAAAAGAAGGAAAAACAAGTCTGATAAAAACATTTCCCCTATTTTTATTATTGATAAATTAAGAAAAGAAAATTAAGGCAAGCATTTGCGTTTCCATCTCAATCTCTCCATCTTCCAAATCCATCGAGTGTAGCTGACTCCACGCACTCGTCTTACATATCCCTGCCCATGTTTCATCTCCTTCGTCAACTCGGGGAAGCTCAGATGCATTTAGGTGACACTGCCACTTCCTTGGACTTCTTTCCTCTGAAAAAGTTGTTTCCCCTTTTTGCCCAACAGAGAAGTAAATACTTCATCCCATGATGATAAAAAAAACATCATCAGCAAGGCCTGCCGCCACCTTCAGCTCACAAGAAAATGATGAATACATTAAATTCATTCTGATGAAAGACCATCGACTAGATTCTCAAGCTCCGAACTTATTCAGTTCCAGAGCCGGAAACCAATTTGGAAAGTCGAGCGGATTGTGGAAACTGGAACCCGGAAATCACACAATTCCCTGCGATATCATCCCCAGGCCCACTGCTGACCCCGTACCGAGAGTGAGCGAATAATAATGCCCAGAACGAAATTCAACAAATAGGAAACGCATGAGCATGGACTCATGGAGCAAACAACAAGTACACGACCACCTGCACTCAGCACGGGTACCCAACTACTGGCCAGTACAGCAAGCAAGTGAGTGAGTAAGTAAGTAAGTAAGCCATATGATCGAAGCCGAGGCTATGAAGTGCCGCTGCTACATAATTGTATTCTCCCCCTGGACGAATCCACTGTCCACATGACCGTTACACGGCCATGGGACCATGGGATTATGGGTGCCTGCCAGCCTTGCCTGCTGAGTATGTTCTACGCTTTTTGCAGAGCTGATCAGAGCGTTGCAGAGCTAGAATGGGGGCTCAACGTACGGATACAGGCTAGTCTCTGGGAGCTGAATCTCTAAATGTTTATCCAGGTTTCTTCATGTCTCTTTTACCCTCTATCTCTATCAGAGCAAGCTCTGGTTTTATTGTTCCTTGGCAAAAATACACGAGCTACTTGCATCCTACATTTTCTATCTGACTGACTACAACTGTCACCTCCTTCTTCCCAGATTACCCGTCTTCGTGCAAGAGAACTATTTTTTCACCACTCAGAAAAGAGAAACTAGATAATATCTCGTGACTAACCATCCACAAGCGCAGTTTGAAGAAAATTCACATCGTCAAAGACTACAGAAAACCCAACCACTGAACTCTCAGTTGTACTTGTAAGGGTCCCGGTGAAGTGAGAAAAATCTCAATAATGTGCAAAGGTGGAGGGAGAGAGTCTACTGCCAAGGGCTTCCACTCGAGGACAGTCGATCGTAGATCGGTATATTTAGCCACAGTCAGTATTGGTAGTGGTGGTATAGGGGTAGGAGGTGGGAGGTGGGAGTGGTAGAGGTAGAGGTAGTAGTGGACGTAGACGAAGTAGTAGGGGTACGACTTTACAGGCACAGGCGACTGCAACTGGTGCAGGCTCTGGGTCGAGACAGAGAGAGCAGACGAGTCGGAGACAGAGGGAGGAGGAAGCTCCAGAATCCGCTGCGGAGTCAGTGCTTCTGACGAACATGTTCACGAGAGAGAGAGTGAGAGAGTGAGAGCTGAGAGAATCTAACCCTCGCTCTCTTGGACAGCTGACTGACAGACATGTCTGCCTGTCTGTCTGACCGACCGACTGACCCAAAGCAGTGGCATAGCCACAGGCTCAGAGCCCATAGCCGAGGCCAGAGCCAGGGCCAGGGCCCGTGCCCGGGCCCGGGCCGGGGCCACAGCTTTCATGAACACCCCGCAGCGAATAAGATTATTTTATCGGCTCCCGGCACGGAAGGAATGAGGGGATGGTGTCGAGACTGTGCGCTGGAGCAGCGCAGAGCAAGATGGCGAGAAATCCGAGGCTGGCTGTGCGTCTTCGGAGTTCGCCGTCCTCGTGCGTGGGTGCAATTCCGCAGCAGGAGAAGCGCCGGGATGGGGCGAGGTGGCGGAAGATGCTCGCAGCGAGCGGAGAACAGTATGGCCAGCCCGTCGGTCGTCGTCGTCGCAGGGAGGGACATGGGCGCCCTCGGTTTGCGACTGCGGGTCGAGCAAGTTGCTCCGAGCCGACGGCCGCTGAACTTCTGCACTCCTGTTCATGTCATCGTCGTGACCTACGGCCGGAGCGCCAACTGGCCCCGGACGCTACCGCTCGCCACCAGTTCTTAATTCCATGCGTTTCGTTACACACCTCGACGGTGCGCATCTCCATCGGGGAACGCGGCAGGCGGAGGCCTCTCGAGAGTGTACAACCATCCCATCTCTAAAGGCCTTCCTCCTCCGCCATTCTTGAGTGAGAAATTTCTCAAGCGTGCAGTTCATCTCTCGATCCCATTTTGACATTGACGCAGAATGAGCGGGGTCAAGGTCAAAGGTCGAGGGTCGAAATCATTTTGTTTCCCATTGGAAGCGGATTTGCCGTCGAAGGTCGACGATTCATTAATTCTCTGAAGGAGAGGAATGTAAGGAAGAAAAATCGCCGTTTTCTTGTCAGTCAGGGTTTGTGAGGTGAGGTGAGGGTGCTCGAGACCTACGTTACGTTACAGCACACAAGTAGCTGCAATGAAAGCGGCGGCCCTTGAAGTGCAGTTTTCAGTGGAAATCATCACATGGGTTTTCATAAGTGAAGACCTTTTGAAGGGATCAGTATTGACAGCATCCACACAGATGAGTGTGCTGTGCTGCATAGAGACTAGAAGGATAGTCGATAGATCCTACTCCGGCTATCGAGGAGAGAAAAAGTGGCCTCGTTATCCCCACGGCCATAGAGTCATGGATGTGGGCGTAGGCCAGGTCAACACTGCAGGTCAACACAAGGTCGAAGACCAAATCCCATGTCAACGAAGGGTGTCGATATGGTGGAGGAGGGAGTCAGTCCAAGGCCGAATACATTGAAGGTCGATTTCGCTGTTGAGATCGATCAAGCACATCCAGCCAGCATCGTGCGTAATCTATCTTCACCCACGAGTCTCACTCAGAAACACACAACGACACACCACATAGCCTCATATCGTAAAACGAAGGAATGTCAAAAAGCACGCACACAGCGCACACTCATCACCAGTTCGTGTCAAAGATTTTCAATGATTCTTGATAGGAACACATGTTGAAACTCGAGGTCCGCTTTGGAGGACCCGACTCTAGCTGGCAGTGCCCGAACTTCTTCACGGAGACGCACTATCGAGAGAGGAATGGGCGAAGGCACTGCACTGCTTGCTTCCCAGGCACGGGGTTCTAGTCAGAGAAGAGAGAGGAGGAATATCATAACCAACCCAAATCGGCAGCCAGATATGTGTCAATATCTGGTAGGTCTGATCCAATCTGCATGAACAGGTAACAGGTATATTATGAAGGTTCAAATTGAAAAAGTGGAGTCTGACCAGGATTATCGGTCATTTGATTATTTATACAGCTTCCACAACAGCTCCAAAAGAAACTAAGCAATATGTACCCTACATACTGAGATTCTGCTATTTAAGACTTTAATTAGCACTTTCTCTCTTTTTGCACCCATCTCTCCCTCTCCCTCTCCCTCTCTTTCTCTCACTCTCTCCAATCTCTTAAAAGTTCAACTAGATTTCAGTAGAGATGGCGGCCATCCTTCCTTCAGTAAGGGGATACATGCACGCGAGCATGCGTCTCCCCGAGCTGTCACTCACAATTTCCACCATCATGATATCTTCCTGCAGTCTGCTTGGGAAATGCGATGACCCGCTAGTGTACAGGTCTCAAAGAACCATTCCTATGATATGTTACATCAAGAATCTCTTGTGTGTAGGCAGCCCCCACATCCGTCAATGCTTATTATTCTAACCGCACTTCAGAGGATAAAGCTTCACCAGCTCTGAGACGCAGCTGGTGAAGGTTTATCCCGAGAATGCTGCAAAAAGGGCTTTCTGCTTCTTTGCCACCTAACATTTCTCATCCAAAATTGCCCTGCTGAGCTTCAGGCCCGATCTCGCCAAACTGGGCATGCAACTGATTCAGCTCTGCTCTCTCACCACACAGGAAGAAACACGGTCCCAGTCTCAGCGCTTATAAATGTAGATACAACAAAGATGTGTATGCTGTGCATATATAACGATTGTTTCAAATACTCTCTGTTTCATCATCATTCTCTCAAACTTCCACCCTCCATATGACTGTGTCCTCGTCCAGGGGCTTGTCCACGGCGGCAACTCGGGACCGGCCGGCACCTCCTTTCCCTCTCTCCCCATGCGGAAGCTCCCACGCCTCGCTTATGGGGCTCGATCGAATGTCGGCGGGCGGTAGAAATGTTTCGTTCGAGACTCCTTGTACATTCAGTGCCACTTCCGTGATCGTCCACACCTCCTCCATGCGCGTCTTCACCTGGCTCATGGCCACCTCTCCGAATCTAAAGAGCGTCACCACCGATTTCCCCCCGTGCGCTATGGTCAGTCCATCCACCTCCCGGTAGTCCTCCAACGTCGACTCGATCGACGTTTCCCAGTAGATGGTGTCCTCTCCATGATTCTGAATTCGAGTCAAATGCGAGTCCTCTATACGAACCAGAAGACCCGTCTTCTGACTGAAGTACCCGTAAAGCACATGGCGAATGATCTCAGCGGGTCCTGCACTCCGTGAACTCAGCGTGTCCGGATCCGTGGCCAACTTCAGAGTGAAGCAGTCTTCGTCGTCGATTTTCTTCTCACCGACGCATCGAGCATTCGTGAAAATGGTGGCAATTGTCTTCGGGTCCAATCCCTGTCCACACAACCAATCTCCAAATTCAGTCACACGGACGAACAAAACGCTTCTCATACGCAGTCCACGCGGACCTCTGACAAGTAATACATCGTCATGGCCCTGGAGAGCGACAGTGACCATGTACATTATCTTAAATTCGGCACTGTTCCGGAAGTAAAAGACCTCTCGCCCTCCTGGTTCCGATCACAGAGCAAGCAAGCATTCAATTGGCATACAATCAAGGCCACGACGGGCTTGGGAGCATGTCCACGCAGGTACATCGAGGGAGAAGGTGCGGCACCTGAAGAGCTCGCCTAAGAGGTCGGACAGGACCCTTGGAGGCATGGGCTCCTAACCACGGGGTATGGCGCCACACTAGCTTGCCGTCGCATCCGGCGCTCACATGCACTCTGTGACCATCAGCCTCCAGCTCCACGTCGACGAGCCACATGTTGGGCTGCATTTGCCACAAGTTGAACCACCCGACCTCAGCTGCCTTGGCTGTACTCCTCGGTCGAACTAGCTTGTTCGCTGTTTCGTACTCTGACGCAAGCATTTTCACTTTGCCTGCAGCGAAGAAATTGTAGATTGAGTTTTGGAGCTTTGAGCCCCCGGTGGCGGCGATGTACTGTTGTAGAATGTACTGCGCAGAAGACGCTTCCTGCGTTCACACCAAGCCATTACAAATCTCGTCAGCCTTCCCTTCCTTCCTAGGCTCGCCTTGCAGCCTGCCCACCAGTGATGACAGCACGACGACATCCGCGCTCGATAACGTCGCTCGCAGCAGGGCGAAGTGAAAGAGTAACGGCCAATCACAGTCTTGATACGAGTGGAGAGAATACTGAAAGACTAGACGACGACAGCAATTACAGCATCATGCCAAGAAAGTGTTCCACGGCGACTTGACAACGGCGCAAGTGCGAAGAGAACCTGACGAAACGAGACGTGCAATGACGATCAACGAGGCAGATCAGAGAAGAAAGAAGAAAGAGAGCGTACAATGTCAGTGTCTTTGGGAGAAGCTCGGGGAGGAGTGATCTCTTTGACGGCGCCGGGTACGGGGATGGGGGCCAAGGGAGCGCCAAGAACGCCCAGAAGCATGCGCAGGTCCGCACGTTTGTTACCGAAAAAGTGGAGACTAGTTTTCTGCCACATCTGATTCCAGGCTCCATCCTTGCGCTGTTTGTTGTTCTCGAACCCCTCGGGTGTGGGTCCTTCGCTCACGGGTGCCAGCATTCTGCACTCCTTGTCCCCCACTGGTCGCACGCTTCCTGAGCGCCCCAATCCATTGCGGCCCGAAGAACCGCCTCCATTCTTTTTAAACAACATGCTTGCTCTCCGACTCTGTTTCCTCCTGCCTGCGTTGCACGGTAATTTGTGGAGGAAACACTACTGAAGTACTATCCACGCTCCTCGCTTGTAATTGGCACCCTCAGGTCTAGAGAGGAACCCACAAGACCACAATGCTCCGCGCTGTCAATCTGTACGTCCGTCTACTTACCCTCCTCAGGAGCAGTGTGGAGCTGAGCCGCATACTCTGCTATGATCATAGCAGCAGGCAGCAGTTGAATGGCTGCTCGTACCGCCATTGCAAGCTTCGTTAAGTAAAGCTTGCCAATCAAAGTGTAGATCAGCTTGAATTGCTGAGGAAGAAAAGATAACACCTGCCGTCGAGAACGGGAAGTGACAGTTCAGTTCGGTGAAAAGTGACAGCACCGACTCCTCCGTCTTTTCGAAAATGCAGTCACGTAAACACTGCGAAAACTGCTAAAATTCTGATCCCTCCGCCCGCTCCAAGTCACGTAAAACGGCCCCAGAGATTAACGAGCCAATTGTTTGCGTCCACGAAGAATCAATCAATGTGCATCCCAGGCGTTGACCGCTCGCCAGCTCCGCTCCCGAAGCTAACAGCCGTACTCCAATTCTTCGCCGGAGTAGCGTACTTGCCTACTGCTTGCCTCGCTCGCCTCCTGTATTTCTTTCTCCGAGACGGGCTGAAAAAAGTATCACCTCTCTCTCTGGTAGAATTTCACCTCTCTCTGCAGTCCACAACACCAACAACCCACCACTGCAGGCAGGATTATGTTCCCAACTCTCTCTTTTCTGTCTCTCTGTTCTCTCTTCACAAAACCTCACCACTCTATTACTTATCACCACACTCCTCCCACAAACCTCTTCACCCTCTCTCTCTCGCTGTCCTTCTCAAACTAGTCGTAGGCTCAGTCTCTCTTCTTCTCTTCTTCTCTCTTCTTCTCTTCTCTCCTTCGGTCCGGCCCAATGCAGCTCCGAGCCCGAAACCAACCGCCGCAAGAAGGTAGGCAGATAGATCTGAACGCACTCACAGCGGCGAACGTCGAAGGCCCAGTGCAGTTCCAGTCCAGTCCCGTGCAGAATCCAGCCTCGCCAGGCTCTCGACCTCCTCAGCGCACCTGCCTTTCTCGCTGCTGCAGAGATATTGTTGATCAATGCGAGCTGATGGAGGATTTGTTGAGATTGGGCGACGGCGATGACCACCACCACGAACCGCGGCTACTGCTGGTCGCTCGTTGGTACTGTCGAGGCACGGGAGCGACTCGCTTCTCGCTCGATTGCTCGATTACTATGAGACCGACCAACCGATTGAATGATTGATTGATTGGTCGATCGACTGACTGAATGACTGACTGACTCGCTCTCCCTCGAATCGCTCTTCTCCTCTTTCCTCGTCTCGCACCCAAAAGTGTCCGGAAGCGCAGGAAGCAAGGCGCTGGTGGCTGGCGGTGCAATGCCGAGCAATGCAATGCAATACATCCGAAAACTCGCTCTCCGCTGGCTCTTGTTCAAGTGGGCGACCCAGAGCTCGCTCGCTGCTGCTGACGCTGACGCTGCCGCTGCCTCTGCCTCTACCGCGCCCTGCGATTGCAATTCTCTGAACTGTCGGGGCCGAGGCCGACGACACGGGTGGCGCGGGCCCGCGGGGGCCGCGGCTGCACCGGCTGGCAGGGCTGGGCCGGGCTGGCTGGCCCGATGGCTTCATGGCTTGCCCGCGAGATGGATGGATGCGTGCGTGGATGGATGGATCCACGGAACGATGCAGGGAAGGATTGCGGGCTCCCGGGGCTCCGACGCTGCCGCACATGGGGTGGGGCCGCCCGCAATGCACGACCGCGACGTGCCGTTCGACGGTCCGACCCAGCGGGCGCCGGAACGCTGCTCTCTCCGCTCGAAAACCGGCGACTTTGCGTGATTGGTGATTTATTCCCCTCGCTCCAGGCGCGCTTCCTCTCCCCATGTTCTCCACATTTTTTTCGCCCGACTGTTCCCTTCCTCCTCCCCGAGCTTCACCTGCTCCCGTCCCGCTCCCGCTCCCACCCGTCGCATCGCATCGCATCGCACCGCGTCCGTCGCGCTTCCTTCCATCCACCCCCGCTCCGTTCCGTTCCAGCTCGACGTGACCGGGCCAGGTCCAGATGTACTTACCGCCAGGCTCACGAACGAACCGCGAAGGGAACGGAGTCAAAGTCCGGTTTACCAACTGCGCCCGCCGCATTACAGCCCAATGAAATAAGGCGACTCCCGTAGCATCCTACTGCGGTACCTGTACCGCCTAGGAACGTACATTCTGACCGCGGAATGATTTATCCTCCCCACCCCTCTACTGTACGTATTAGCATCCATACTCCTCCAGGCTCGACCCATTCGAGCTCCTTCGATGAGAACCACTGTGGTGACCATATCTACCCATTGAATTATATTAGATTACGTATCCTCCTTGATTTCTCCATCTCATCTTTAACAAGATTAAATGAAGCAGTACGAGAGGCAATTAACTCAACTGTTTTATGCTGTAACCTTGCCACAACCTTGTGATTGATTATTGGAAGCCCGACTTTACCGTTTAGGACCGCGCCTTTGGATGTTGTTTCATGGCATGCAACCTTTCTACTTTTGGGTGAAATCCCGAGATTCTCTAGTGGACCGTGGTAGTTTCTGGTTATGAGATCGGGAGGAGTATAAAGTTATGGAATAATCTGGACTCTTGGGATCAGAACTCCTGCGAATATTCTCTCTCGGTTTGTCGAGTTATATCGAGATTCCGTTAGGTGAAGGCCGAGACTTTTCACAACATGTGATGATGCTGCTTGCGCTCGAAGCAACGGATGGAGGTGCACGTCCTTCCCACTCCGTGGTTTTATTTTATTTAGACGAACGAGGTCAACCGTGAAAGTTCCGAAGTATGGATGGTACGTGAGGGCAACCTTGAGGCGAGCAGAATTTCCGATGGAACATGCAAAACGACACTGGCTCCCGACCCATTGCGAGGTCCGAGAAAAAAGATGAAAATCCGTCCGGCTTAATATTATTTTCCTCATTCCTGAATTATTCGGATGTCCTAGGAACACCGGCCTCGATCCCACCCTCGAAATACCCTTTCAGACCTCCTCCTCCTCCTTTTTAATCATATTATCATCTTCTTTTTCCTTTTCTCTCCACCCCCTCAAACTACCTCATAGTTCCCATCGCAACCATGTTGGTTGGTAAACGTGGTAGTTTTGGCCGACCACGTAGATGTCGAAGGTGAGAAAAACGTCAAGGCTAAGGCTCCAAACTAAACCCATCACTGGTAGGCTCAATGGCAATATTCATTGGCATGAATATTGCCACAGCCCGAGCTTCGAAGGCCCTGAAGACGCTCTACCCGGGGCTCACTGAACGCCGCTAATCCTACGAGGTTCGGTGAATGGAGACCACGGAATAGACAGAAGCAGCAGGAAAATTCCAGTTACTACCTTGAAAGTGAAGAGTATCTTTGCAGGGAAATTCCCCGAGATTAATAATGAAAATATACCAAGCTTGGATATAGATATTCCAGAGATGAAGACGTACGCAGGTCACTTACAAGTCAACTCGATGCCAAGAGGCAAAGAAGATATTTTCCTATCTTCCAGGTTCGAAGCGAAATTCTCCCATCATGATATCAACATGATCATACGAAGTTTACTCCCCAAAAATGTGACCGAAATTCACCTAGAAATATATGTCTCTGATGACGAGGCATGAGCATCACAGAGGATAGGACCTCCGAAATCGTATGCTGGGGACATTCCTAAGAAACTATGTTTTCAAAAAAATATTAAGAATCATTTTTAAAAATTGTTTTGACAGTTCTACGGGTTGTGTTGGTTTTCAAGAAGATTATTTTGAAAGCGAAGATGAGGTAGTCTGAATGTGGGATCGATCGTCGGGTGATAAGGGGGAGGAGACCTACGCAGGTTTGGTGCACACATCATTCAGACACCAAATATCTGCTCATGCACAAAAGTGAATGGAACAGTGGAAGATGAGATCAATCCGGGCACGGGAAGGCGGAGACGAGGTTCCTTCCTTGGGGCGGAAGGGACCCGGTCTTGTCCTCAGTCGTGAGCGTAATATACCGAAACAATCCGAGCAAGGAACCACACACGAGCACGTTGAGGAGCGGCCGAAGAGTGGCACGAAAATGTTCTCATCCATCGCCTATCCCGCGAGTCCGGTCACGTATGCGTTCAGTCTATCCATCCCATCGGGAATTCAATGGTCCACTGCACTGTGCCGAGGTTTGGTAAGTTGCCAATTAACTAATGCGGAGATCCTGATTGATTCCCATGCCGCTTGCGTGCGGGATTTGTACGCGATCGATGGATGCCGCTCCACTGTTCATACACTCCCACCAAAAGCATCAACGACAAAGCACAGTCCCAATCGCAGGAGGCAGAAGGCAAACGAGAAATTGTGAAGGGCAGTTGCGAGCGGCACCGCAGGGCTTCGCTTGTTGCGGAAACCATGCCCGCCACAAAAGCCCTACTTCCTCCGCGACTCGTCAGTAAATGCGACACTCATTCGCGCCTTGGGTCCTGCACCGCAGAAATGATGTCGAAAAGCCGGAATTTATAACGGACGCCACTCTGTGACGTCCATGAAAACTCAATCCATGTCCGTGGATCGGGCAGAAGAAGGGCGACGAAGAAGCCCAATCCGAAGATTTGTTCTCTCCCGGTCAATGGGTCAAGTCGCGCCCTAGATACCCATACTCATAAATCCCATCATATCCTCAATCGGCCCCCCCTGATTTAAGGACGATGTCTTTATATCATGCACACCAAGGGGCGCAAAATGATATTCGTGCCATTTTGTAAGCGCCCCGCCCCCACAGAAAAAAATATGAGTAATGGCCGGACCCGACGGGGCGCCTTTATATCATGCAAGCGCCTTAAATATCATGGCGATCGTCCATCATCGCGTATGTTCTCCCTCTCGGTCACAAGGTGACCAGACCATAAGGAACCTGAAACAACAAACCAACAAAAAGGAAGCGGAGGAAAGTCGGAATCGGAGGGATATAGAAGAATGCAATAAAAGAATTTATAAAAAGGGGGAGGGCTCATAAACAAAAATATAACAAAAATAAAAAAGAGAAAAGAACGAGCCCCCTTTTGGCGCATGCTCGGAGGTCGTGGCGCCGGGACCGTTGCTGGCGAGGCGCGCGAGTGTGGGACTGGAGGGCTCCGGGGATTGATCTCCGGCGGCGGGGTCACGTTACGTTCGATAGAAGAACTCTCCCTCCCGCTGGCTGCCTGTGCCTGTGGCTGCACGTCCTTGTCTACAGAGGGGAGCGCGTTTGGCCGGACTTGGACTCGGACTCTCGCTACAGTCTTGACTCGACTCTTCCGTAGCAGAGCTGCGTTCGTCGGTTCGTCCGTCCGCGACCAGCATCGGCATCTTCGTCGCCGGTCGAGTGAGACCAAGGGTTGGTGGGTGGGCTTAACCTTGCGGGGCGGGCCATACATCTTATAATATTATTGTCTGTTTGTTTCTTTCACAACTGCATGGTGAGAATTGTTTTCTTCACGCTTTCCGGACCGTTAGAGTCAAGGAAAGGCAACCGTTAAAGCTTAAGGAACGGATGCATAACTTCGTAAGGTCGGATGATGATGCATGTTGTATGCTACTCATTGCCCAGCTTCTTAATACGAAATAATCGAGATATTTTTCCCCGTACTCGATAATCATGTGCTACTAAGCACAAGGTAAACTCTGTGTTTCCAGTGTGTCTTTGAGTCTTTCGCACTCAGTCTTATATTCGATACTTTTGTGATGCTGAATGTATATTATCTAAGGAAGGGAAGAAACTAAATGTATTTGGATCAACATATTTAATGGAGCAAGTTATTTTAGAGAAAATTCCATGTTATTATTTATAAAATGTTATCAAATATTGTTTATCATCTAATAAAAAAATTACTTTTTACTTTTAAACTTCATAGATGATCATCTATATGAAAAAATCTAATAATCAAAACATAAAAAAAAGACATAAAACTTCAAGTTCAAATTTTTTTTGTCACATGTAACATAATAAAATTTATTTTATTTCTGGCTTCAATTAATCTTTATATACATGTGAGTAGCTAAAAAATCAAAGACATGTTATTTTAGATTTTACTTATGTATAATTATCTCAAAAATTTTAATAAATACAAGTTTAATGATTTGGGTTCATTTTCATTCAGTTGATTTTATCAATTTTTAGACAAAAATATTTTTAAAATTTTATATCATGATATAGTTTTATACATTTTTAAAAAATGTGAAACGATTAATTTATTAATTTTTAGAAATTTCATATAAAAAAAATCTTAATCAAAATAATTTTACTTCTTATCAGTATAAAAAATTATAAAAAATAAATTTACATAATAAAAAAACCTTTTTTCATTATGTAATATTATACATGTAAATTTATTTTTTTATCTTATGCATGAGATGTAAAATACATTTTATTGATATTTATTTTTTATTTTTTATTTTTTAATTAAAATTTATTAATTTGTAGAATTTTTTATTTTTAAAAATA